CCTCTTCTTGACCACCTGGGCACGTGAACGTTGTCCGTAGCATAGAAACTCAGGTTACCATGATATGGCCATATTGCTATTTCGTATGATGGACGATACACAATGATCGCGAAATCCATTTTCCAAAATATCGTCGTTGTGCTTACATTGCTCATAAAACATTTCTTAAACATTATTTTCTGACGAAATCTTTAGGAAAATACTAACTCCATAATTAAGTCTGTAATTAAATTGTAGACTGTTTTCTTGTGAAATTAATGGCATGGCGATTGTGACGTAATAACAAAATGTTTGGTTATAAGCGTGTTAGATCGTAAGGTTGTAAGTAATTGGGCTACTTATGGCAGGCTTACATTGAGTGAACTGCAGATGAATAATTTTCAAGCCACCTTTTGTATTGGAAATGCAGCAAAGCACAACCACAGTGCAATAAAATTGTAAGATGCAGTTACGAAGTTATGGAAAACCGATTTTGTGATAACCATCATATTGTGAAATTTGATATCGTTTCGTGAAAAATGATATTGCAGACAGGCCCAGTGGAAACAACTGCGACTTACTGAGTGCATGTCAGCAGCTGGGCGTCGGTGCTGTCGTATGCATGTGCGTCAGTGTTTCGGCTTACGTGCGTGTGGCGGGCTTGTGTTTATTGAGGAGGCCCTGCATGAGTGCTCGATAAGTGAAGAAGGGCAGTTTTCGAGCGTTTTCTCGAGAGGCCTTTTTTGGAAGTTTACCTAAATATAGCGCGTGTATTATATTGCTACATTGGGGTTTTGCTCGTGATGATACAGAGGATAAGAAAAATTTAGAAGAAAAGCAATTTTCTTTCGCTGATCTGATTGAGAAATTGTAATTTTTGTTGAATTAATGAACACATACTGGCTGGCATTAAAGCGCAACAGGGATTGACGGAAAGCATATTCAGCCACGTTTTTGAAAGCAAATAAATGTGCAATATGCCTGCATTGTTTGTGTTTACGCAACGTTTTACTTTAGAATAATTAAACTGCAGGTAATAACACAAGACGGCAAGTCTCTGCGACATTTTGCATGGTTCCTCAAACTGCTTGGCAAATGTTAAAGAAAATGTTTTTCTTTATATTGTGACCTTAGCCTTTGGCCTCAAGGTCAAAGGATAATCGGTGGTGGCATGACCAGGCAAGCTGTAATGATTATTTTTTGTGCAACATGGCAAGGTCATCCAGCTTCCAGCAACCTAATGTCATAATCAGCATTTTGTTAAACATTTTGACCTGCACTTTGGCCCTTTCCAATGTCATTGATTTTTAAGACACTATAAACGTAGTGATATTTAACCACGGATGAGAAGCCAGATCAGTGCAATTTTTCAGCAGGGCATGCAGTACTACAAGCCAATGTTCTGCAGGCTAAAGCATACGCATGTCTCCAGTACGCGATGAGCTTTGTTTTAAATGACTGAAAATGTTAGTTACACGAGAGTTGGCTCTGAGGAAGACCTTAAGCACCCAGCAAAACATTGAACACTGCTTCCAGACTGAAATCCACAGCAAATTTGAGACTGGATTATGTGGAGTGTGATACTAAAGCCTATATAACTTTGAATGGCGTGTAAATGTAGTCCACGTTGTTTACATATCCTGGGAGCAGTGGTTGTGAACCTGATGATCTGTGTTTAATTCAGGGATATGGCTAACATGAGTGGTGAATGATGTCTGAACTGGTGCTGAGTCCCTCTAAATCCCCTTGAGGTGTGGAAAGTATTTCATCCAGCAGTGGATTGAAAAGTAAATAATTATATTGTGTTGGTTCTGTGGTTGTAAGTGATTTTTTTAATTATATTGTGTGGGTGCCGAGCACCTTATCCAAATTGTAATTATTGGGGTTTGTTACATTTTGTGGTTATTGTTACCGCGTGAAAATCAATGGGTATTGAGTCGCCTCTTAATTAAATGTTTCCACTTGAGTGAGCCACCTATTTTTTCCGTGAATTGGACGAATGTTGCGTGTTCACACTTCATAGGGTGGGACTGAATTGAAGAAGAGCAGGTTACATAATCGCGTGTGGGCATGGCCCCGTGGTCTTAAGCCAGTAGTGTCGTGTGGTAAAGTTGTGTTCTCAATCCGGTGTGCGCTGTTCTCATGACTCATCATGTAAGAGCCAGAGGAATGTGACCGGTTGAATAATTTATCAGTTGCATGATGTATTCTGTTTGGATTGCCATTTGGAGGAGCTGATTAAAAGCCATACATTTCATACTAAGGTGAACCTTAAATATTTATAGTAAATTATTATATACAACATATTTAAGCTTGGAAACGAATGACTTTGTAATTACAGTTTATGCTGTAGTGGTACACTCTGTGATTGTTGGAATTATATGCCCCTGATTTAGCGCTGGAAAACAAATCGTAGCCATATGCACTTTAATGATTACAAAACGTTATTGACGTTGTTCTGTTCAAAATATATTGTATGAACAGTGAGCATGAATTTTACGTGTATGGTGTATGGGATGCTTTTAAGAATTCATTTTTGTATTGAATAATGGCACAGGTGAGATTTTGTAAAGGAAAAGCTTGGGCAGTGGAGGAAAGTTTCCATTAGAAACTTAAAATCACTTGGGCAGTGAGGACAGATGTGGTGTTTGTGCTGAAAGCATAAAAGCATTGGTGTGTGTGTGCGTATATATGAGCTGGATAAGCACAGACCTAATTCAACACTGTTGGTTTTTCTTCACATGAACAGTGCGTGGTCTTTCCAGTTTGCCAGTGAGTTTTGGCTGGTGCATTTCGTAAAAGTTGCATCGGAGAGCATTGATCAGTCGTTCATTCTTCAGTTGTCAAAAAAAGCTCGTTCCAGGGGAATGGCGAAAGCTGTTTTGATTGGCTTGGTAATCAGAATGACGTTACATATGAGCTTTGGAAGCCACCAGTAAATTTAATTAAGCACCCTTGGAATGATTATTGTGAAGTAATAAAGTATGCTGTGTTTAATTAGAAAAATTAAAATAATTATTAGATAGTGCATATTTATTTACACTTTTTTTTGTGTTTCTGCGTTGGCAGTGGTGTACAAGCACAAATGAAAAAGCCAACACATTCACCAATAACACTTTGATGCAATATGGAGATGGGACATTGCCTGCAATGTCACCTATTATATATATTTTTTTCCTTTTAAGAAATATAATTATTGAGTTTTGTGTATATTGATTTAAAGTTAAATTACAACATTACAGTATTTGTTGATTATCTAATTTCACAGTTTCTGATGAGTGTCTTTGAGGTCGAGCATTTACGTAATTGATAATAATGAATTACAGATTTTTCTCAATCCACTTCTAGTAGGTCTTCCAACACTTTTTGGTAGGTCGGTGAAGGACCAGTTCAGATATCACTCATCACTGGGTTCAGAGTGCAGGGTAATTATCACACAAACTCCTCTTCACCCCTCTTCACCCAGCATTGTAATGCTTCATTATTTCACTTGAAGTACGTTGGTGAGAGGTGGTGGTGGTGAGAACAACAGGGAAGCGAAGAGTTCTGTTTCTCATTCCCATTACGAACGTGACCCATGCTCTGTCCTCCCTGGCCCCATCGGTCTGATCCTTTGACGCCGAACAGTTGGAAGCCATACTCAAGCCCTACACCTTGCGAGTGCAGCATGGGCCCTGCACATGTTGATGGCTAATTGCCTAATTTAATTCTTGCAGGAACAAACTGGAGCTTAGAAAATCACTTATCACGTGCAATATGTTGAAGTGTCACCTTTACTCTTCCAAATACCAGCGTACAAAGATTTAAATAACTTTGATAATTTCCCGAAATTTGCCTTAAATATCCCCTTCTTCAGATTTGGTGCATGCCATAAACTATTCCTTAACCTATGCAAGCAAACATTTCAAAAACAGCATCGTACTTCATCTTGTTCCCATTTGTTAAACTTTTCCTGCATCATGTGACCTGACTCTATAATGTCCACTGTCTAGTCATGCCAGGGTATTGGTTACATGATGTCGATGTTACATAGATGTGGGCCGGAGTTGTTTTTGTTTTTATTAAGACAAGTCACGGGTGGAGAAGGGTCCATTTGGGTAGCAAAGTGCTTGTTGGGTTGCAGATTGACTGCCCCTTTCAAAGGCACTTAACATCCAAGTCGCAGCAAAGGCAGAGTAGGACATCTAATTTTAGCACTGTGGCTTCCATCCCTGGCAGGTGTCCCATGTATTAGGTTCAAATGCTTGATTTTCTCATGAGAACATTGCTATGGATTTAACCATGAGCCAAAGGGATAACAGCTGTTTTTTTTATTAAGAAGATTCTGTTAAAAAATATTTGAGAGCCCGTTGCTCTTCAATACTGAAGGAAACGTGTAACAATTCAAAATGCCAGGTTATCCATGGTCAACCCAGATGCACTGCTTGGGATAGAATGGGCAATATTGTGCCAGTGGTTTACTTTAGGCCAACTACAAAGCGACCATTCCAGGAGGTATTTTAGCCTTGTCCATCATTACCTGCAATTTGTGGGTGTTTAGTGTCTAAACCTTCGTTTATTCATACAAATGTGTTTTTTTTCTGGCTGCATAATTCAACAGCTTTGTGTAATGTTTGCGTCACCCGTCCTAAATCAGCGTGGCTCGGTGAATGGAACCTCAGCTGGCGCACGTGCGTCCTGCGGGTTTTGACTGTGTGGACATGACACTCCCTCCTTCCCTCGTCCTCTTCCTGCTAAAGTTCTATCCATCTACCAAACTCAATTTTACCTATCTTATGCCCCTCCCCATCCTTCTACCTAACCATGTATCTATCTATTTACCTACCTTCCACTTTATCTACCTACCTATATATCTTCTTACGTACCTACCTCTATATCACTTGGCACTCATCCTCTTGTACCTATCTACCTACCTTTCACTTCATCTGAATACCCATCTACATTCTTACTTACGTATCCACCTTCCCACTCAACCATCCTCCGTCCCTCCCTTGTCTCGCCGTGTCCCCCTGCGTGTACAGGCGGCGTGTGCCGAAAACTGTGGCTCGGACGAGAAGACGCTCGTGAAGGTGTTTCGCTGCCTGGCCAGCTGGTTTAACTTGGCCGTGCTTGACTGTCACTTCATGGCCAACAACAAACTGCTGCTCATCCTCTTCCAAGTGCTGGTATTCTTCCCATGCCTGGCCGTTCAATTCAGTGCCGGTCAGAATTATATAGTCTTCATCGGGGTGGATCTGTGCAGTCATTCATCGAATTCTATTTATTTCTAAGCTTCACGACACAAACATCAAATTGTGGGTGTAAGAAAAGCATGTTTTTTGTAATGTAGGTTTGTTGAGTTCACGTGACCCCACAGCTACCATTCACTACGCTCACTGCAGTGTTATAGAAATCTTTAGTCAATCGAAAAGTACCACGTAACATCGCGTGGATGCGATTTTTCAATTCGTAGTTAATACATAATTTTGGAGGCGCATGAACATAAAGCTAAATGTAAAAATAAAAGTATTTTCAAATTTTTTCAAAGCAAAATGGTTAAATTATTCTTTTAAAATGAACAATTAGCCGACCGATCGGAGGGCAATCAGCACGGCATTGTGCAGCCCAGGATCCAGGATTGTAATAATAATCATCTCACCATCATCAGTCGTGATCAGTCTGCTGCTGGATGAGATGTTCCCTATCTGCTACCATCTCTCATGAGAGATTAAAATAATAATGGTAGTTGAAACGATCATGATGCAAATAAACAATATTCATATAACTAAATACATGTGTTATCTAAAACTGTGATGCTACAACTATAGAAAAACACCTTCCACATCACTAAAAAAGTCTCACATTGGGGTGAGAAGGTACGAAATGTTTGACGCGTTTGATTTCGTGTCCTCTGGATTGATTGACACGGTGAGAACATTGTGTTCCGCTTGGCCGATCAATCACTTAAATGTGAGCATCATTATCAGGTAGCTGTGCTGCTCGGTTCAGTTTAGGGCACAAAGCAGGTGGAGTGACTTTCGTGGGAGGGTTCACAGACCTTAATCAAATGCAATACAATACCCCTAATAATGATGCTCATATTTAAGTGGAATAATAAAACATATATATGGAGAAACCAACCAAAACAAAAAGTAGGTGGCAGCCTGGTTTATCCCAGATGTGGGATTGTCTTTGCATGGGCAGTTAATCTCTTGTAGAGCAAAGGGCACACATGCAAGTATGTTCACCGTATGACACGTGTGACAGGCCAGGTTCATGCCCGCGAGGGTTCAATTGAATTCCCCAGCGGTAAACAACAAAGGGACCTGTCCCATATCCACCTGAGGCACAGCGCGTAGGTGAATGGCAGTTGTCGCCTTGCTTAAGAGTCACTGGCAGCGCCTTGGTTGACTCCCGACTGCAAGGACACAGGCCACCGTTCAGCATTGCATGAGAACTGCAGTTGAATCGAATGTAACTTAGAATGTGCCATATAAGTGAATTAAAATGAGGTTACATTTTATTTCATTATGAGCTATATTGGTTGAATGAATGCGTCCTATTGGTGCCCGTTTATTAGATACTATTTCTAGAACTCGCTCGGTAAAATGTTGGATATTGGTGCCTACACACATGCATCAGTGTGTGTGTTTATTTATATTAAAAGGAGCATGGAATTTGTCACTTAGGCGTGCCAAGGCAGAATAACTACATTTACTCTTTGTGTGTTTGTGTATATATTTCAAATGTTAAAAATGGAGTGAAGCATATGTATTTATGATACATGTTGCATATACGTTGGGTGTTATACTTTATATGACTTGGTTGGCGTGATGGGGCACGATGAATGGGTAAATGAGGCTGCAATGTCAGGGGACTGAAATTGCTCCTCTATAGAGAAAGTATTGAGGCTGGCAGATTCTCCTTGTGAAGCAACCCAGAATAAATTTTCATTGAGAGGCCACAATTTACACGTATTTCTGACTAATTGCAACCGCTTTTGGCTTATGGCCACAGGTAACATGGGCTTACAAGTGTTATCCGAACTTAGGACTAGCACCCCCTTCAGTCACCTCAGCCTTATATTCGTATCTGTTGCACTGTGTAAACATGAGCACTGGGAATACAAAGGCAGTTGAGCTTGTTGCTAGTTAAACCATCCCCTCGTGTGCTTGCTCAAGTACTTGCTTGAAAGCATTTGTCCCAGCAGCCTGTGTTACTTTATGGAAGAGCTTTGTGTGCATGTGTGTGCATGCCCAGCAACTGCATTCCCAAGCAAATTGGCCAGGTAGAGCAGTCTAAATAGGCATGGCATGGGCCAGAGAGCATATGGGCTGATATGGTGCAGGAAGGAAGATGGGGAGATTAGTAGACTTTTTGAGAGCTGGTATAATTAGTATCAAGATCTGCCTCCTGTAGAGAAGTAGGCGAATACAATATGCAACTGAGCAATTGGAGCTGCCGCCCTCCAGCAATTATTAAGGGTGTTGGAGTGACGCTCAACAATGATACAGCAAGATGGCACAATGGGAGTCATCTTAAGTAAATGTAACCAATAATACCTGGGTCTGTACAATGACCTGCCAGTGCGCCTTCAGAATTTCATATGCCCTCAATATATTGAGCCTGGTACAAGCGCCATGGGGAAATCACTGTCGCTTAGACGGCAAGTGGTGTTTTTTGTTGTTAAATACACACGTTCGCTTAAATGTGTGCTGCAGCAACACGACCAGGCCCCAAGCGCGCTGCACGAGGCGGCTTGCGACTGCCTGTGCTCAGCCCTCTACGGACTGGAGAACGTGCACACAGAGCTGCCGCTCGCCACGCAGCTCTTCGAGGGGGTCATGACTCTGCAGAATGGCTACCACATGGCGGTGGCGCGTGAGGACCTCGACAAGTGAGATGCGGAGACGGGCGCCTACTTGGCGAAACTTAAACACACACAACGCCGTAGACGAACGTCCGTTTGGGTCGCGATGCCTGGCTCTCATCAAACGCGTGTTCCCGAGTAATCTCTTGCTCTGCCGAAATATAAGTGTCCGTTGAAAATTAAGGCTTGATGTGCTTGTATGCACTTAAAAGGAATGCAGGTTCTAGGTTATGATTAATTGGTCTAATGGTGAGATGTTAACTGGTTATGATCTATGACTGAGATGGGAATGTAGCATTCCCTTGGAGTACAAATGGATGGTCCAGATGTAATCAGTTTCTATAGATAAATACTCTGTTGTGGTATGACACGAGCAATTTACCTAATTCTAGTAATGGCTAGTCCTTCTAGATTTGAAGATTTCGTGACTGCAACAATTCATACTCTTAGGTTTTTTCGGTAAAGTCACGTAGGTAAAAAATAAAAAATAAAAATAAAGAACAATAAATATAGAAAAAATAATAGAAATAAAATAATAAATCGCGACGTTTCGGAGGCAACACAAGCTTCCGTCTTCAGGTGGAACCGTCACAGCACGATTGCTGTATCATGTAAGTATCAAGTAAAAAAAGCCTGTAAGTATCAAGTGGAGGTGGGCTGCAGAGGTTTTGTGGCAACATCTACAACCAGACTGCTTAGAGACCTGGGAATTAAGGGCCAGAGCCAGCGTTCGGCAATCAGAGCTGTATCGGAGGCGGCAGAAGGCAGCAGTCAGTGGCTCTGGATGAAGAGGAAAGACCCCAGCTGGGCCCCAAAGTGAGAGGGCCAGGAGGTATGCAGTCAACAATGCTTGACTCAGGGAGGAGGACGCCCCTGCCATGCATAGTCCCATGGGATGTTGGCTATCAACAACAAGGCAACTCCTATGACTAATTGGGAATGGGACGCAAGCGTAGGATTGATCACCCTGTCGCTGGCCGCCTTTGGGGAGGGTGTATAGTATGAAAGGCCGAAACACCCTAGGAACCAAAGGGTCACTACTGACGATGCGCTCCCCAAATTTCACCAGGCTCACTGTTCATGAACTCTTGGAAGTGCTTGCACAAAGGATAGTAACATCTCATCCTGTGTTCTTTGGAATTAACCTACGTGACTTTACCGAAAAAACCTAAGAGTATGGCTAGTCCTTATCTATAACCGTGGCCCAAGTTCCTACGTGACAGTGAGCATTCTTTCCAAAGTTATTTTTTATTAAAAACTAGCAACCCAAACGTCCTTGGGGTGTGACTATCCATTCCTCCCAGCCAGTCAAACTTTTGTCTCATAGAGCCCTCTGCCTCTCCACCTTCCTCTTGTTTTCCCTGTGCTATATATCCGAATGTTATCTCGAGTTCCTGCGTTGTCTCTGTTTCCACCCGTTGCTCAATCCCTCTGTCATTTCTACCTCTTCGTCCCTCTATATTCCTCTCCACCATATGTCACCCACTTCCCTCCCCACATTTCGAACTGTTTTTTAATCTTTCTCACATCTCAGCCTCACTCTCCTTATTTCCACTTTCCCCATCTCAGTCTCTCTTGCCTTTCCATTATCTTCCCACTACTCATCGCTTTCCCTTGCTCTCTTTCCATTCTACTCTTTCCTCTCCGTTTCACGCACTTTCACTCACCCCCTGCCCCCTCACCTCTCCGTGCCTCTCTGTCTCCATCTTCCTCCCTCATCCCCCTCCATTTCTCTCCTCTATCGCATTTGCACGGAATACACGTATGGGGCGGAGGGTGGGTGGGGAGGAGGCGTGAAGATGTCCGCGCAATGCACAAGCCCGGCTCAACGCCTTGGGGATGCGGGTGACGTCACCACGCTGATGTGCGCGGTGACATCGCCACCGCACATGCACATTTACCCGTGTGCCAGCCAGCCAGCAAAACATTTTTCTAATATGATACAGAATAATAATGAACACTGTTGGTAATTGCCTCTGGCCAAATCAGCCAGAATTAATCAAATCCCATCAGATCTTTCCATCTAAGCAGTATTGAGCCTGCATAGTGCTTGGAAGGACAACCTGAATTAATTACCAGATGTTAGAGGCTGCTGTGGGCTCTGTTGTGTACTGCACTTCTATGCTCCCATGTGTGCTCCATGCTTTTATCAACTTGCGCTGATCAGCATTGTAAATTCAGATTAAAGAACCCCCACGACCCACGCAACATGGGGAGACCCTCATACAGCAGTGGATTTACAAACTGGATTTGCATGCACAAATGCACATTGTACAGCACAAGAATTCGGCAATGAGCATTAATAATGATGGGCATTTGGTAAACAAAAACGAATACAATAATCCCCTGTATAGCCTGGATGGACTGTTGGGGCAAGTGCTGTTAGCGAGCACCTATGAAGGCTGGCACTGTACATGAAGAGGTAAGTGGTCAGCATCACTCCCTGACCGCCTTTGTCTCCACAGTGGCGATGTTTACACTCCACACAGAGTAGTCATTTGAGGCCGAATAGACCTAGGGGAGGCCAAGGACTAGTTCAGATATTCGTTACTGGTGTTGGCCGTGAGCGGGATTCGTACTCGGGTCGCCGGGTTCGTAGTGCAGTGCGCTAACCGCTACACTATTTGGTGGTAAACATTACCGCAGACAAAAACGGACACCTTTTCTGCATCATCTGACGCATGACATGTCTTGCGCAGGGCCTTAAACTACTGCCGGGTGTTCACGGAGCTGGCGGAGACATTCCTGGAGATGATCGTGCTCTCACCGGGGCACGGCCTGGGCAACCTGTGGACCCTAGACATGCTGCTGACCTGCGCTGGGCACTGCCAATACGAGGTCTGAAAAATGCAGATGCTGAGAAATGCACACGCCTGAAATAACCTTTATTTTGAGGCCACAGCTCCAGCCATGGGCTGGTTCCACATTCTTGACTTTTATTGTTACCAACGAAATGCAAACACATGCTTGCTTGCTTACCCCTGTGTACATCAAGGAATTACAACTAAGTTTAAGAGGCGAAACATTAATTTTATAGGTTAAGCTTCATAGCTCATCGGATTCCTCCACTAGACTAAATTAACAGTTGAATTAAATCTGTAATGCATTGCTTTGTGACTCAGGTCTTAACCAATGGGCTTTCGTTTGATTTCAATGGTGATTTAACAATAGGATTGCCAATTATGGATATTTTTTTCTCACTCCAACTTGATGTTACAATGTCATTAATTGTACTGTTCAACCCGTTCACAAGATCAAGCCATCGTATCATTGTGTGGGTGTAAAGATTGTTAAAAAAGAAAAGATAAGAAAAAAAAGAATGTATTTTGGGCTAAGTTTGCAGTGGTGCACGAGCACATAATGAAACCTCGCCAGTTTGGAAACGTGACCCTATTTTATATATGCATTTACCTTCTGTTTTTGGTGAATGTGGTGATTATTTCACATTATCAGAGTAATAATAATTGTCCATGTAAAAAAGTAATTGCACATCAGTTGATACAACATTGCGAATTTGTTATTGTTCCACAAAGTTGTACATTATTGTATGTGTTGTTATTTTATTCAAATATTTAACCAGCAGATTGCAAGTCATCGACTTGTATGCTTGTTTGCATGTGTTTGTGCGCATATGACCGTGTTTGTCCATTCCTTTGGCCTTGTTTGTGTGTAAATGTGGTTGGACATGCGGATGTGTTCCAGGTGGCGGAGATCACTTTTAACCTGTGGTACCGGCTCTGCGAGCAGCTCTTCCAGCTCAAGGATAACGACCTGAACGCTGTGTTCCGGCCATACGCACAGCGCCTGATACACGCGCTCTGCCGGCATTGCCAGATGGACCCTGACCACGTAAGTGGCACCGCCGCCGCCACGACCGCTACCTCTCCCGCTTCTCTGGCCCTCGCGCTTTTACCCTGAACTGAACCAGGCTGAACTTGTCAGTTATTTCGTAGACCCACGTGCTCATCAACAACTGTTGTACAACAATATACGAGATCATAGATCTATGTGATTATTGCTCATTGTTGTACAATAATTTACAAGGTTAGAGTTGTTTTATTTGCTTATTAGATTTTTTTAGAACAATCATCCAAGCAATAAATAATTCGACTTTTTTTGCAATGGGTAGACTTCGACCACTAATTAATGCTTGCACAAACATGTTTTTCGTGTAGTCTGTCAAAAATTTCAGATCTTACAATAAAAAAGATATTTTGCATTCATTGTCCATGTGTTTTGGAAATTAGAGTGCATTTTAAAGCCTATCAGAAGTAGGTCTGTTGGATCACCTTCCACAGGCCATTCTTTAACACAGGGTGCAGTGCTCTGAGATATCTGAATGGACACTTCATGTTTTGATATAATGCCCATCAGACCATGTGAAAGAAATTAGGAAATCAAAATATGAAAAGGTCAACGATATTATGACTTGGATGACTGCAGAAAATGTTTTACTCTCCAGTTTCCTCCTCCATGTGAAAACTCATTAAATGGCCTATAATACATTAATATATAGAGGATTGCAATAGCTCACTGCCCAGCTGCCTTTCCTGCTTTAGTGTAGTTACTCATGCCTGAGATGTTCTTTATCTTCAGTAATGACCGAATGCTGTGCACATTACAAGTTGAAATTAGTATTATGTAATTATAGTTGTCAGAATCTTCCTTACTAGCAAAATAATGAATGTCAATTGGCAGTACTCTGAGTCATTTAATAGTTAATTGAAAATGGCAAACTGTAGGGACTACATTTTCGCCATGACAAAAGTGAATTTTCATTCGACTTTTTCGCGAAAACATACCAATATGGCAAAACAGATTTAATTGGATAAATTTGTCAAGATGGTTACCTGGTTCTAGATGACGAATATTTTTAGACACATGAACACCAATTTGACTTGGAGTGGTCTTCACCTGAGTGGCCTTGAGCTGCAACTTACCATGTATGTATGTTGAACTGTTGAAGCTGCAACTTACCATGTATGTATGTTGAACTTATTTTGCACTTTATATAGCCAACTACGTTAATTGTGCTGCCTGTTTGCCTTGAGCTCGTCTACCTCCTATTTGCATATTGTTTTGAGACGTGGTCAAATAAAATGCTTTATAAATTTAAGTTGTAATTGCTGGAACGGTGCTGAGCTCAGCATTTATCCGCAGCACAAATAGTTCGAGTGTGAGAAACGAGTGTTGCAGAAATGATTAAGCTAAAAAGGGATTTCTGTGTATGAAGTGTCCAGGAAGCAGGATAGCTGATTACCGAGATGGGCATTAGAATGGTCTCCATGAGTACCTGCGACCAAAGGGAAAACCTCAGACCAGACGGTAGGGTACTGTTGGGTTAGATCTTTAGAGGTCGTGTTCCTACTGTGCAGCAGCTGCAGGATCTGGCAGAAGATAGAAAACTTTGGTGGGATGTGGGGTGATGACATTGGTTTTAAGCATGCTGACCTTTTTATCTTGAGCGATGGTGGTGGTGCACGATATCTTCAAACAGGAAGGGGTTCCGGATGAAGCGGATGACTTTTGGGAGTTTCGCCTGCGTGTGTCGGACCTCGTAAAGGATGTCATCTTCTTAGTTGGCCCGGCTGAGTGTTTCGCTCAGGTTTGTTGCGCGTGTATACGGTTATGGCTTTTTTATGGTTTGGAAATATTTATGCGCAAGCTGGAACCATAAACATGATGTACGGTGACAGTTTTACAGGCAGAAGCACGTTGTGGTGTTGGAAAGCTCAAATGTATTCAATTGCTTCCTTGAAATGATGCAGTCACAGGAACAGGACATTATTGCATGTAATCGTGGTAAATATTGAGTTCATGCCTTTACCAGCTGAGTGTTTTATGCATGTGATGCTGTGTGATTTGTAGGATTGCACTTCACTCTGTGGGCAGTGATGTTACTCAAATAACTTAAAGAGTTCATTTAAATATGGTCTCTTCATGAAGGTTCTACACTTGAACTGAGCCCACAGAGAATGCATTAAATGACCAGCTTTTACATATAGATCTCTCAAAAGTGAATGCATACACAATTGGTACTTCCACGTAAATCACTTAATTGGCGATTATAACTGCCATTCTTATACAAGTAGAACATTAAAGTTCAATGAGTACCCTTTAGCCTGCAATATCTTATTTTCCCCACATGTATTATAGGGCAAGAAACACAGAAAATGTGGAAATACAGTACTGTATATTAATTTCTTAAGTGTGCTTTAATTTATCCAGAAAATTTAAGTTGTAAAGATGCGTGCACTGATTTATCCATCCATAACTATTGATTGGTCAGCCTGCCATAAATACATTATATTTTTCTTCGATTAATATATATTGTATTTAATTCGTTTACTTGACCGCTGCAGCCAACCATGATCACAACACTGCATCAATTATATATATTTTGAAAATAACTCCATTAAATTATTCTGTAAAGTTGTGACTTAATCATGGGTATTGTTTGTATGGGTAGTGTTTAAATTAATTTTTAACATTCCTTAAATGCCTTGAAATTGTCATGCCTTCACAAATTATATGCTTGGCCAAAGCCAGTTTTTTTAAACTAAAATTGTACGATAACACACGCTCGGATAATTTGTTTCAACCGTAGTTTATACAATTATATTGTACATTGAATGCAGTGTGTGTGTGTGTTTACATCGAACTTATTAACGTGCATACTTGTGATTTCTTGATCCGGTTCAGCTCTTTGCCACCCTGAAGGACTCAAACCCTCCTTGGGAAGTCACGGAGGCCGTGCTCTTCATCATGTCTGCCATCGGAAAAAGCATTGACTCGTAAGTGATCCGTCCTGTCCTGCCCTCTCTCCAAACGCCCGAGCCTCTGTGTTATGCGTGCTGGGTCAAGCAGGCGCCCCTCCTGCCTGGGTGGTCTAGTGGAAGCATTCTTAGTTATGAAACGAAAGACATGAGTGTGGAGACTTGTGAGTCCAGGTCTTTTTTTACTGGTGTCATTTATTCTGCTGTTGGCATTTTACACAAACTTCAGTAGCTCTCTATCCAAAAGTTAATAGATACAAAATTTGAAAGTAATTTTCTTTTTTATTTCCATCCACAGAGACCTATCATATCGGCCGAAGGACATGTACTTACTGGTGTGAATTTAGAATCTTAGACTGAATATATTGCATTTTTTCAATAACCGTGGCATTATTTAATAATGATAATTATACATCTAAAACGCTGATTCTCAAATGCTGCCACTGCACCATTGGTGCCCAAAAATGTCAAAAAACAATAAAAAAATTAGTTGCAAAAGCTTGCATATCATATAGTGTCCAAAGGTCCAACTGGAGGGGAAAAAATAGCAACCATGTAAATTTAATTACACTTCAGCCAGTACACTGAACTCATATTGAACTATTATGTTCCAGCATCACCAAGAGCAAATATTTTACAAGTTACTTGCACATAAGCTTAAAATATGTATACGTTTTATTGTCATAGCGTTTGTGGTGTAAATACGGAAATGGCACCATTTTTTATTTTATTTTGCACTGTGCAGATATCGCTGTTTTAAACAGGCAGATGCCATTAAGTGCCTTGGAAAGGCCCATCTTGCCTGTGTGGTCCCAGGCAGCCTGTCTCAGTGGCTCTGTCAGTCCACTTGAATCTGTAGTTTTCGTCAACAACTGATTGATTTCCTTATCTCATCTTCTGAGCAGATTTACATTTGACAGTGCATTGGCCTCGCGTGACTCACGTCTACGACTATTGGAATGCTCTCGAGCCCTCCACACGGCTTCTCTAAACCCCGGCCCTAGATTCTGCGCCCAAGACAAACCACGCTGTCAAATGTAATCGAACAAATGTTTAAATATTTATCGCAGTGTACATCCTGCTCGGAGGGCTGCCACTGCTACCATAACGTCGTGAGCCCCCATATGGAGTTTTTTTTGTTATTTCATTACCCTTGTCTCCCTTTTGGAGTCTTATCCATAAAATTGTATTTAGCTGAGAGCTTAACATCGACAATGCAACATTGGTGTATACATATGCTGCGTAGTAAACGAGAGTAAGCCAAAGCTTTTTTACTGCGGGCACACGATTGTTTGGGTAAATTGTAACGGCATCCAAGTAAAGCAGTGTGTTTTTCACATTGTCGTTGATCAAAACTGACCTTAACCGTCTTGACTCTTATATTTTTCAGAGCCATAAGCCATTTTTAGCACATGCCTGACTTTCCTCTTAAAAAACAGCAACAACATTATTTTCAACTGGTGTCAATGATTCAACCTCTAAATGTTTCAGTAAGAGGGTGCTGTGGCTGTCTTAAGATATATAGGAAAATATTTTGTATTATTTTCTATCTACGTGACTTTCCCGAAAGAACCAAAGAGTATGAATTCCTGCAGTCACGAAAGCCTCAAATGAAGATATATAGGAATTCTCAAGTTCTGTCAAAAACAACATTTTAGCGGGCGTGCACTTGTGTGTTTAAGACTTTTCTGATTGTACAAGAAAGCTTGTTCGTGACCCACAAGGGACCTATTTTCCTTTTGACGTCACTCTTTGTTTAGTGTGACATGCCAGCGGACAAATGTGGTCTAGGTCACTGATGCTTTTTTATCAGTCATTAAAGCAAAAAGCAGGATTGCTAAGTCTACATGCTAAGTCGCAGCATGTGATATTCTGTACTTGAAATAATACAGCACCAGATGAGAATTAAACATCAGCCTCTTTAATCTCCCAGACAATGCTGATGAAAGCCTTTTAGCCAAAAATGTGCCCGAGGTGCTCTTTCTTTTTGGCAGACCCTATAATTCCCTTGTGTTTTCATTAATGGCAATCACATCGTCTGTACAATCAGTGCCTTTGTTTAGAATGATGAGAGTACCCATCAGGATTACGTGTCAATTTTAACAAGGGACACCTGGCATATGAAGCACAACAAATACTAATTTACAATGGACATCCAGTGGAATTGGTGTGTCCTCTTAAAATGTTTTTATTTCAATTATCGGTGCCACCTGGTGTCAGCGTGGTAGGTTCCTCCTCGCACAGACTCCCATCGTTGTTGATCGTTGTGTTGATTGTTGAGGGATAGAAAATAAATGACCTTGACCTACATGAGGTTTCAGTGGGATTGCGACTGACTGTCCGTGGGTGTAACGGTTGTTTTGTGACTGCGTGTGCAGAGATAACGCGCAGACTCTGGCAGAGGTGATGCAGGCCGTGGTGACGCTGCCGGATGATGCACACCTCGCCGTGCAGTACACGAGCATACAGCTGGTCGGCGAGCTGGGAGACTTTATTGACCGCAATCCGCACTTCCTGGGTAAGATGAGCGATGAGACTGGGGGTTAATAATAATAATGCAATCTATAACGCGCGCAAATTTGCGGATGTTACGGCCGCAACTCAGAGGCGCGGAGCCAAGCTCAGAGTTGCTCGAAAGCGTGGTTATAGAGGTGAGTTTTTAAGTCTCTCTTGAAGGAGGTGATTGAGGTGATGCTGCGAATGTGCAGAGGGATAGCGTTCCAGACTGTTGGGGCTGCTACCGAGAAGCGGCGCATAGACGTGACCATCCTGGATCTTGGTATCAAGAGGAGGTTGCGCGTGGTTTGATGTTCTCTCGGGTTCTCTGTCCCAATGACGGGTCCATGGCTCCAAGCTTCTTTCATTCTGTCTGATCCTGCTGCACCTTCTTAACCTTGCAACACTGCACTCAGCGCTTGGGTTCTCGAATTGTAACTTGGGAAGGAGCGTTGAGGCGATGCTCACTTGCCTTATTCTACAGTGTTTTAGGCGACACAATCACCGGATGCGGTTAAATGTCCTTACCACAAATTACGTTAACGATATGAAAATGCAATGAAGGGCACAATAATTGCAATTAATACGGAAGCTGTCACTAAATACGCGTGACATTAAACTGAAATGAGATGTAATTTTTTTTTAAAAGAAGCTTAAATGCTTTGGCAAATATGTACTTTTTTCCCCATTGTGAGCTGCCTTCTGCTTTGAGGTTGTAGTAGGTGGTTATGTACGGCCTCGTGACAGCAGGAACCAGTTACTCAGCGCGAGACACACACGGAGCAGTCGGCTACTGTCAGTGTGCCTAAACAGATTGCCGAGCATTGATTGCAATGGCCGATGGGGACACGGACCACCAGGAGGATTTTTTTTTTATTGCTGGCGCACTATTGAACAGAGATGCAATATGAAATGAATAATCGGTCTTGTACATACCCAGGCTGTGTGTTCTGGGCTGTCTGGCATGAATTTGTTGCATAGTTCATGAGAGCACTTAATGGCACTGGTAACGTCATTGCAATGTCACTCCTGTGTGTTGTAATACGTCAATGCATTGACTGCTGTGGTGGCTGTGCCTGACCGTACACTCAATAATCTTCTTTCCCATTTAATGAAGTCGGAAAGCATGACCTTATACAAAACATTTAACACCAGAGGATCAATACATCATCTTTTGTGAGCAAATTAGCATTATTGTTTGTATGGGCATTAGACCCAACCAATGGAACAGTGTTGAGTATTTAATGGCTGCTTCATAGGGTTAAAGATAATGGACAAGGCTGCAGTAGATTTTTTTTTAATGTTTGGAAAGATTCTTTATTTGTTGTTGGAGTTATTTGCCATTCAACAGCTTGCATAACCCGCACACTGTGCGTGCATGCAGAGCCGGTGCTGAACTTCTTGACCAAGGGTCTACGGCAGAAGGAGCTGGCGTCCGCGGCTGCGTCGGCCGTGCAGAGCATTTGCTCGGCGTGCCGCGACCACATGGCCGTGCACTTTGAGGGGCTCCTGCAGATCGCGCGCTCCATCGACACCCTGGGCCTGTCGCACGAGTCTGCCATCGGCCTGCTCAAGGGTACGTGCACTTGACGCAATATTGCCTGCCCCTGCCTTCTCCCAAAAAAAAGTTTCGCTTGCCATCACCAATGACTGCATTGCATCAAATTATGGCACTTCACTCTTTCTCGCTAAATTCCAGCACTGAAAATTTTTATATCGGTTTTTGGCTATCATGCGATGAACGTGGCTCTGCTATGTGGAGCAGAGTTCACGGAAGGATCTCAGAGGTAGCTCTGTTGGGTGTCTGCTCCTGTGGGCCATTCTATAGCATGAAGCTGCACTGCACTGGTGGAGATCTGAATGGTTTCTTGGTCTCATGAAATGATGCCAATGGCACAGTCGGGATAAAATTGGGGGAAAGTTATGAAAATACACGTAACCCGCCAATATTTTACACTGTTAATGAGAAGATGGCAAAAGTTTTCAGATAATATTATTTTTCATTTGGGAAACAGCAGCTGATTCTATCCTAAAATAAATGATCCTGAGATTTGATTCTGTTCTCTTAGCACTTTCAAATGATACACTAATCTTGCCTATAAACAGCTTTTGACGTGTCTGCAGGAGCCATCTCAATTTACATTAACTTTCCATGCAACAAAACATGTGTTGAAGGAAATGTCGGTCTGGACTGTGTGTGCAAGTGGTTTTGTTTAAACAAAAAAGCCCCTACATTTGCTGCGAGTATATTTATTAACTCAAGGTACCACTATGTTATGCTACGCGATGTCTTAAGCTGCTAAGATAGCAATAAATGACTTTGCGGTCGATTTAACATTGTAGATGTGGATGTGTGTTTTGGGAAGTGTTTGGCCTGCCTTGGACATTCTATATTATTGCAGGCACCGCGCTCGTTCTGGCAAGGTTGCCTCTGGACAAGATCTCGGAGAGTTTAAAAGATCTCTGCGCCGTTCAAGTGAACGCACTAAAAAAGGTGAGCTCAGACCTAAACAATGTACCTGATAGTGTTCAGCTCTTCTAGCAAGGAGTTACCATGTACCCGAGTACATCACCTGCAGTTTCATCCATTTATACATCCACAGAGTCACTGGGGGTCATGAACACCTTTTGTTTGAAGTGCCGACAACAGTTGTGGATAGTAGTTCATGAAAGTTGCCCCAACCCAGTTTATAACACATGACATGACTCCGATTCTTACAAAGTATACGTTGGTAATACTGCTGCATATTGTTTGGGTGACCTAGATAAACGTATTGTCTTGTTTTCAAACTCCTGCGGCCGCCTCTTGTCTGCAAGCCAATTTTATCCACGGTTTGGTCTGTGTCTGGCCTTGAATTATGTAAGAGTTGAATTGTTGTAAATTAATCTTAATTTCTCTCCAGCAACTGCGTAATTAAACTGCGGTAGGATGTCGGTGCCTCTTTTTTTAAAGACTTATTAAAAAAATGCCGTGAAATATTGTTTTAAGCACTTACGATCTTTAGAATAACGTTAGTATGATTGTGTAAAACGGTTTTAAGCACTCATGAACTTAGAATTCCGTAGGTGTGCTGGTTTGGACAAAATATTAAATTATAAGTGACACAAAGTAGGTGACTCATCTAGTGATGGTCTCTATTTCACAATTATATGCTGCATATTTTCACCTTTTAGCCAAATACCCAAATGACAAAACCCAATGTACGTATTGAACGTTGTGGCAATCGCTAGTAAAAGCATGGGCGAATTTATTTGCTCATTAACTAATGTTTGGAACTCGCGTGATTCCACGTAGCTGTTAACACTGGAAGCAAGCAACGGTGTCTCTACTGATCCGACAATTTGGCTGGATCGTCTGGCAGCAATCTTCAGGTGAGTGAGTGGATTTGCGTGTCGGTTGCTCCTGTGCCATGGGTGCTTCTGATGTTCCCAATCGCTAGGAAACGTGAGCCACTGTTATCGATTTGTCTTGGTGGCATGTCAATGGATGCAGGTATTCAGATGTGATCTCTATATCGTGCTTGCAGTGGTGCTTTATCGTACCAGGAGGACCCGCATTATATGACTACGGTTTATTTTGTTGATATGGAGATAGAGAAAAGTATGTAAAGCGGTCGGCTATCGCTTCATATATTTGAACATTTTAATATACTTTACTGAACGATTGGTACTGGGCAATATAATGACCTCGCAAATGATTACGTGTTCTAGTCCTTTCCAAAATGGATTTTTTTTTTAAGCATGTCAACTAAACTGGCAGCAATTATTGAAATTGGGGCACTGCTTTACAGTAAAACGAAATTGTTAAAAAATATTAATTTAATATCATCAAGTTATTCTCCTAAAATGCACATTTTACTTGCATTCTAACCATCTTTTTGTATAAGATATATTTATTTGTGCAGCAGCTGTATGCTTCAGGCTGACATTTTGAATGGGGATGGCCAGAGGTCGGTGAAAAAACTACTTCAAGAGCCGCAATGCATGCGAATATGAGACGATGGCCCATAATAAATAACATCATGATTCGGTCCTTAAAGAGCCGCACGTGGTTCCGGAGCCACATGTGGCTCTGTAAGGAGCAGCACTGGAGCCACACTCCAAGCCTGTCTCGGAGCTTGCTACCTTCCTAGACACGAGGCTATGCTGCTTGGTGTGCTTTATCCTGCCGTGTTCAATAAAAGAACTGTGGCACTCTCCCCAAATGCAGGGCTAGTCGGGGTGTCCACCACTTGCCAGTTGCATTCACACAAAGGCAATGAAATAGGCTTCTTACGAAGTGCATGTCTAATGAAGCCGTGCGACTGATTTATAGATATTTTTTATTGAGTGTTTAATGTACAGCACAATTAGCTTAAACGGCCTGTCTGCTTAACAGTGGATTGATGGAGGCAGCTCAGCAACCTCCCTTCAACTACGAATCTCTAAAGCTTCATTGATCTCGGCGGTCACGACGTTTTTTACAGCAATCGACACAGTGGCTGCCTCCTTACTAATTGGAGCAGAGGGTCTTAACAAGTAAACCCGTAAAAACAAAGTTTTTCACTATAAATCCTTTATATGCGTGGCATCGGGGCGGCTAGAGTCCTCTCGTCCTCTGGCTTGAGATGGCTGCCACCTATGGGTCAGATGATTGTCTGGCAGCATTAAACAAGTGGTAAATAAATATTTATTTATTTTCCCCTAAACAGTGTAAAATTTTGGACATTTTTTTTTCACGAAAATGCATTGTCACGCACAACGAGTCTGTGTGCAAAATGTCAGCTCGATTGGATCACGGGAAGTGGGTTAAAAAACGACCGAAAGATTTGCACGGTCCTAAGCAAGCAAGCAAACTTAATATAAAGGATTTAAAAAGTGGCAATATCCACTTCCAAAGTGCTATTAAGCATTCTGGGAAAAAGTTTGATTCGTAAACTTGTTCTCATAAAAGTTGGCTATCGAACACAAAGAATATTAAACAGATCTGCCATAATAGCTGAAAATAAAAAATGACCATGGCGCACGGGTGCACGATAGACTCCGTGTTTAGCCACGAGGGTCAAATTACGAGTGATACACACGATCACTTTTCTTTAGTTTTTATCACAGAAGCAGAGCAAGGCTTGACAGGCTTGTTTTTGAAAGAAGAAGCGCTGGTGGTTTTTTTCATATCAGTGTGAGCTCTGTGTAGCTACTGCTTGGTTTACATTTGCGTGTGGTTTAGTTGGGTTTCTGTTTTTTTACACAATGATTTTAAGAAGTTTAGCAATGTATGTCTCACTCCTCAACCAATCGCTAACACCATCGCGCATGCTCGCGTGCCTCACTTGAATGTGAACCGTTGGCAAGTGTTTTTTAAGTACACAATCTGACAATGTGAAATGTCTGACTTGTATCTGACAATGCTATCAGTGACGTCACTGCTAGACCACAGATTAGACTTGCAACAATGCATGCATTGTGTTAACAAAGAAAGAATTTTCAATTGTGCCAAATTATCAATCTCATCTCACCCTACATTATCTTGGATATTGGATTTTAGTAGATAATGCCATCTGTGTAAAATTTTGTTATCCATATTTGGAAGGTCCATCAATATTTCACAGGAAATTTGTACTTTACTCATCATTAGCTCAACAGCTGCTTACATTCCAAAATAACTTGTCGAGCATGATGAATCCCTGATGCATCTCTGATTTAAGCACTGCGCTGTACATTAGACATGTTTAAGTTGAGTCTGATGCAGCTCAGAGTTTATTGCTCTGGAAAACTTTCATGTTTGTTTAGTTGCAACATTCGTGCCAATGGCCGCCTTGTCCCTTCTGACTATCATGTAACATTTTGGCCGATTTTCTTGGCATCCATCACATTACTCAAGTATTCTAAGCCATTGATAAATTAAAAATTAAAATATGGGGGAGGAATTCCCTGCACATGATGCCAAACACCCCATGCAGATCCTCTCTCTAAGCACGTTTATTATAGTCCACTCATCCACACCAGCCAGTTGCATCACTAAATGTGTTTGACCGCTGTGCTTCTTTCAGTTGACAAATTATTCCACCGGTTAGAGATAGGAAAATGGTGGTGGAAGCAACTTGTCCGGTGGTTAGTATAGGATTTGCCAAAGTCTAATCCTTGTGACCCACCGCGGGTCGGCCTTTTCCATGTTCAACACTCTTATTCGTGAAAATATAAATGAATTGCTGACCTGCTGCATGCATCTGGTGATTAGTTGATACAAGAACTCCATATCAATTTGAATCAGGATTCATGACATTACATCGAATGTGTACCGGTCATCAGGCATGTGTAACAAATACATTTGAACGGAGAGATTTTTTTTGTCTGGTATTAACCAAAATGTGTGCGATTAACCAAACAAATAGATAAATCTGCTGGGAAAGCACTTTGTGTATTTTAAACTCGGGTGCAAAATGTCATACACTCACGCTGCCCAGCTGGGACAAACCTTCAAAGGGATCACCTTAAAGCTACAGCTGAGCTTTGTCTAGCTGTGTTGACGAAAAAATAGTAATCGCTGGGCTCGACTGTGTGCAGGCATACGAATCCCATCGTTGAGAATGGTCAGCTCCACCCGTGCCAAGCAGTCATCCAGGAGGTAAGTGGAGCTCCTGCAGCAATCTGCAGTCGAGTTATGTTGCTATTGCATTTGGTGATTGTCACGTCCGAATGCTGAGGATTATCACTTGTCTGTTGGTAACAAATAACACGTGGCTCGTGTTGGAGAAGTGGCGGCATGAGAGTGAGCCCGGGGCCTAATTCCTAAATTGGTGCACTTAGCTTAATTTCATGTTGAACACAACTATCTGTAGGCATGTTCAACCACAGCTTTTAAGGATTAAAATTTTTCTTGTCAGATTTTTTTCAAATCATCTCTGTTGCATATTGTTAAAAACGTATTTTTCCCCCTAAAAACTTAAACAGCTGGGCACAGTGTCAATTGATTTTCGTTCTCATTTTTGAGCGCTTTACAACCGAAGGTTAAAACTCTTGATGCATTGGCTCTTTGCATCTGGCCATCTGTTAATAGGAGGTCATGATAACTCATGAAGATGATGCAACGTTGATGAAGTTTTATTATACCTTTTTGCTATTAGTGGTAAATGGTTTGAACAAAACATGGCAAAAGCAGCTCTAAGAGCGGAGTAGCTTTGCCTGCCAACACCATGAAGTCATTTGGTGCAGCATCAGCTCATTGTGCGGCATGACACTTCTCGTTTTTTTACACTCATTAAATGCTTCCGAAGACAAACGTGTGTTGAAATGTGTTATGTAATACATGTAGATGCATGACTTTGAAGTTGGCTTATGGTACATATTAGCGTTATAAAAAAAAAATGTATTTCCGATTCCTTGGCCCTACGCTGTTGCTCGAGGCAAGGGTCTTGCTCCTCGCAGGTGCCTGGCATCCATCAGTGGAGGTGTATTCTGCTAAGAAGCTGTGGTGTAAGGAATATATCCGTCTCAATAGAGCCGTGGATTTTGGGTGTCACTCATGGGGAATTAAATCTATCACTGCAGCCCCAAATTCCTCTTTTCTTGTTTTCATGCAAGCTCAGTCTTTTTTAGCCTTCCATCAGGAGACTGCCATGTTTAGTTTCACATATTTGACAAGCAAATAGCAGGAAGTGGGATTGTTTGTACAAGCTGTCTCCAACACCTGGATGCATGTTCTCGCTTAGCAGAGGCCGGTATGGCTTAAGTTACCTTTCTGGAGAAAATTGTAGCATTAAATGAAATGCTCAACAAAACAAAACACCATGATCTCTGATTAGAAAGCAGAGATAACTAAACTGAGCATAATAAACATTGTTACTTCTCAGTCATTGTGTACAGTTGAATGGTGATGGATGGCTGACTCGACAGTATTTGGATTCTATGTACACATTGGCTGTCAAAAGAGAGGAAAGAATTGTAGTCTTTGACTTGAGCTGAAATAGTGCTACTGCATTGTGTTGTTGGCTGGAGAATTCCAAACATTTGCTCAAATATTCTGTTCTTGCCGCAGTCCACATTGCTGGCTTTGCTGGCAGTACACTTGTGAAAAATAGCTTTCTAGCTCATTGGATTCCAGCAGGATAAATACATCATTATTGTTCATTGGGAATGTTGAGTGATCTGTGTGTTGCTCCATCATCTTTCAATGTTTTAAAAACTGGCAGATGAAAAAAAGATTTTCTCATGTCCAACATGACCAAATATGGCACTGTTGGCAACTACAATTTTCTATTACAGTGATGTCTGGAATACAGTGTTTTAGGTACAGCCTGTGGTGTTTTATCAGATGCATCTGGAGGAGTTTTCTTTTTTACATACACCTGCATTTTATAAGAAAATCTCAGCTGTTGTGTGTCTATGCTTGAGCTCTGTAGCTTATCAATTAGTAATAAAATTGCATACAGGCCTTTCTCTCTCACAGCTGGGGATAAAGGCCTCCACATAGCATGCTGGTCAAAGTGGTTGCGTTAATGTATTTCACCACGCAGGTTGGCGAAGGGGTCTCAGGACTGGCTCCGATATTACTTGCTACTGATGTTAGCCATGAAGATTAATCAAATTGGCTGCGTTCCTGTGGCAGTGAGCTAACGACTGTGCTACCACTTTAGCCAAATATAAATTATTACCACGCTTACAATTCACGGTCAGGTTGTATTGGACAAACAACAACTTCCAAGGACAATTAGGAATGGGCAAGCGCGGGATTAAACTGTGATGTGTACAACCCGCAGAATAAAAAACACATACGTCAAATAACGATGAATTAAAATCTGATTTGTATCAACACATGGATTTCTAATTTTTCTCTTTTAAATTGCCTCAAATTTTGATCAGTATATAATTGTAAATGTATTTTCTTCCTTCCATATGTAACTACGAACAGAATCGGAATATTTGTTGTGAATTTCATCGGCTCAAGCAACTACAGTAGATGATGGTTTACACGTCAAAGCATAAGGCAGCATTTTCCTGCTCATCTCTGTTAAACTGTTTTCTGTGAATGCTCTCTGTGTTTGACCCATAAAATACCAAGACCCAATTCTCCATGGATAAAATAATTACAAACACACAGGCATTTCAAAACTCTGGGAGCCACTTGGCGCTGTACCGTGGCTACATGCCACTATTGTTGCTTAAAATGTAGCCTGCCGACTATCAGCCACAAATTGTTACTGTTGGTAGCCAGTAATAGTCGTTAATTTAATTGGTTATAAACCCATTAGAGGCTCTAGAGACCACCAGAAGCCTCTTGCAAGGGAGACTTGTGCAGTACTTCAATCATTAGTGGTTTATGTACAGGCTCTTTTAAGAGTTAAAAACTCATTTAAAGTTAGCTTACCAGTTTTCTTGCAGAGATTTAGTTTCATACCCCACTAGCTGACAAGCATCTGTTTCTGTTGAACCTCCCCTAAAAGGGTGGTCTCATTTCTGGTTTGGTAACTAAGTCGCGATTCCACTGGTTTGGGAAATTATATGATGCAAACATTTAAAACATGTTGAATATAGCAAGGTCCACAGCCATTGCCTATTTATCTACAATTTTAGTGCCTGTGTTTATTATTCCCTTTTCCAAGCCCCAATTATTTTCATTTGCAATGTTTAGAACAGTGAGTTGAGCTGTGGCATAGTGGTATTGCTTTCACTTCACTGCACCTGCCAACCTGCGTTTTATATCCAGCCACATCTAACATCAGTGATACGAGTTATGTTAATGAATCATGATAAATAAAGCAATCATCACCTCTACTGGCGTACCAATTCCCCAGGTCACTCTTGCATGGTCTGTTTAGTTCTGACCTGCAATAAACAAAATAACGTGAATATATGAACCGATTTCAGGGTTCCCCACCTCACCAACCCACACTGACCAGCGTGGTGATGTATGGTCAAACAACCCCTATGAGCAACACGGCGTTGGAAGGCCCTCCATCCAGCAGTGGATTGACAAAGGGCAGTAGGTATCAATATCAGGGTCATTGATTCGCAATGGCTGCATGTTGCTCCGTTGGGCGGGTGCACCCTCGCATTGATCGTCTGGGCACGTCGTATCTGTGTGTGTGTGTGTACAGATCTGGCCCGTGCTCTCAGACACGCTCAACAAGAACCAGGCCGACAACCGCATTGTGGAGCGTTGCTGCCGCTGCCTCCGCTTCGCCATCCGCTGTGTGGGCAAGGGCTCGGCGAGCCTGCTGCACCCTCTCGTGACACAGGTACGAACACGTGCGCGTGCACGCCTCTCACTTTAATGCCGCATCCTTATGTGTACAGTAAAACCTTGGATTGCGAGCATAATTCGTTCCGGAAACGTGTTTGTAATCCAAAGCACTCGTATATCAAAGCACTCGTTTATCAGTTGTGATCACGTGATGCTCGGCAGACAAAGCGTATACACGTACTACTCGTATTGCAAGACCTCGCTCGTTTATCAAATTAATATTTACTTTAAAAATTTGCTCTTCTTGCAAAACACTCGCAGACCAAGTTACTCGCAATCCAAGGTTTTACTGTATTCTGCTGAGGCCATTAATTGTGCTGTGCCCCAGTCACTCGGAACCACAAACTAATCCAACGACTTCCTTTGCCGTCTCCACCCGCCTCCAAAGTGTTTCATCTTCATAGCATTCGGTCTAATATCCCGTCCTCCATGCGCTTTCTGCCACGCCTGGCAAGCATAGAGGCCCGTGTCCCTAACCCATTACAGTCTCCGTGACTTGGCTTTACAGCGAGGCCAGCGGGGTGGGGCTCCCCTGACGCTGACACGTTATTTTCTCTGCAACCAGATGGTGAGCGTGTACCAGGTGCATCCGCACTCCTGCTTCCTCTACCTGGGCTCCATCCTGGTGGATGAGTACGGCATGGAAGAGGGCTGCCGGCAGGGTCTTCACGACATGCTGCAGGTGTGCACAACGGCCTGCTGCACCCTTGTTGTTTCACAGCTGACCTGGTTCTGGTTGCAGTTTTTACCTTTGTTCCACTGTACAACTGGGCAGTGCTTAGCCAGCCTGGTGCGGGTTGTTTTTCCACGACACAAGCCGAGCTGTGCCGCTGACGTCGCACGCAATGAATGGGTCGAGGTGTGCATGTCGATGACGCGATGACGCCGTGTCCTCACAAGGGTACTGAATGGCTTCACATGCAGCGAGCATGGGCATTAGCCCCCACCAGTGGCCCTGCTTGACCCTGTGCCAGATGTGACGTGTCTTGTGAGGCCAGCATATGTCACAGTTTGGGTCCTGCTCAGCACCGCAAGTAGCCAGTGGAATGCCATCCGTAGCATTGGGGGCCCCGTTCTGACTCGGCTCAGATGTGCCAGTCGAAAAGGACTTGGATAAGTGTTTGGTGACCAGTAATGAGTCGTAGATCCGTCTTTCATAAACTTGCCCATCCTCGATTTAAAGCTTTCGTGACTGCAGGGATTCATCTTCTTGGTTCTTTCGGTAAAGTCACGTAGAAGGGAAGTAATAATATAATAAAAATAAAACATAATAAGGTGACCTGAGGACGTCTGCTTGCGTTGTGGCCAAAACGTCGTGAGAATTATTTTATTATGTTTTATTTTTATTATTTTATTACTTCCCTTCTACATGACTTTACCGAAAGAAACAAGAAGATGATTGCCCATCCTCGTTACATTATCCGGTACTGTAAATGAGCGACTTTTGTTGGCGGTTGTTTAAAAAGCATCAACCAAAAAAATTCATCACATTTGTGTGAATAGCACTGCCTACAACAGAAGAAATGTATTTGAGGCTGACATTTGAGGCAGTGGCCTTTCAGAGCAGTTAAAGAGGGAGGGAACATTGATTTTTATGTGGAGATTGCACTTTGCGCGTTGTGGAAACCTTCTTGAACTTTATGAAATTGCCCAATTTTTCTCAGAGCCCCACGTTGTGAAGTGCATTCTCCCAAGTAAAACTCAATCAACATCTCTGCTCTTAGCCCTCGAAGGAGGGCCACTGCTTGAAATGTCGGCTCTTTTAATATATGTTTTCTCAAGTGCTAATACGAATGTAATGGTGGTTTTTTTCGGTCTGCATTGTAAATGATTGATTAAAGGAAATGGTGGCAGCTTGGAGATGTCTTCATCCATCAGTGGATGACCACGGCTGATGATGATGGTGGTGGTGTTGAATAACCTGCGTCAAGTCGTTTTCTCACTGCATATGGATATCCTACCTCGTCTGCAATGTTGCTGTTTCTCCACTTAATTTATAATGGCTTTTTCTTCGTCTTCTATGCTGCTCCCTGGAACCGTGTTCCTTTCCAGTTGCGTTAATTTCATTAAAATTCCATCACTCCTGCGTCTGGTGAGAACAGGTGGCTGACGATTCCTGTAGGGTGTTCGCTGCTGCACCACATTGTCTCGGGAGGGTGGAAAAAATGTTGTCTTGTCAACTTGGGACAATCTAAAAACACAAATGTGTAAAAGTCCTAGGCTCGGTGTTCTACATGTGTTACTTTTATCAAAGCAAATGGGTCATTTGTCATCAATGTAGCTTCCCAGAAACATTTGTTTTGGTTACAAATATTTTCATATTTTGGCACACATCATTAATTTCTTCCAAATGGATTTCTGCGAAAACATTTCCTCGCAAAAACGTGAGTGTTGGAATAAGTTAATGATCCGTTCAGTCAGCGTTGTCAGCTTTCTGCGAGCAAGTTGTGTACAAAACTGTTGAGGCCCAAACTCCGTTTGGTTACTTTAATATGTGGCGGCCTAATTATGGACGATATAAAATGTTAAACAAAACACGAACAACCTTGCCTAAATTAAACCCACCTGGATTGAAACTAAACTCATTGTCTTCATCTGCAAGCCAAACAGCACTTGCAGAGATCATGCTACGTAGGTCTTCGTGGTGGTGCTGTAGAGCGCTGTGATGCATTTTCTGGTTGCACTGCATGCCGCTCGACACCATCTCCTACGGTTTTGCTCCTCGTGAAGAAGCTCCCAGGACAAGGAGCAAAACGCTGCCTGTCCTGCCGAACAACCCGTGGTACAACCCCAAAACACATCGGAGAGCAAAACTTGCGGAGTTTACACTTCAGCCCATAGAAAGTTAAGACGTTTTAAAAAAAAGAATTGTAACACAAAACAGAACTGACCGCAACCCATAGCTGACACACACCATGTAGAAAAATGTTAAGCATACCAGTGTGGGCTGTTGCAGAGTAGTACGCTATTTTATTTTGATGCAGATTTTAATGTTGGATGCCTTTCCCAGCTGCAGTCAATTGCCTGAGAGCAGCATGTGGTGTCTTCTCCTTTTCCTCCCAGTGTTTCATTTGGCTCTTGCTGAAGGTCAAAACAGTAAACAGTGTGAAATGCAGTGGTCTTTCTGGCCATAACCAACAGTGTATTCACAAAAGACTGAACGAAAGAGGCTTGTGCCTTGTACATCAAAGGGGATTCACGCATTCAGTTTGGAAGTACCGCTCGGCAACTCTGTCATGATCTAGAAGTTTAAAAAAAATCCTTGTAAAACAGCACACTCATTCATGCAGTTTATTGTTCGGATTAAGTTTACCGAAATAGAAGCTCTTGGCGATTAGTGCCAAAGTAATCTCTAATGGGAGAAATGGTACACTGCAAAAATGCATGCAGTTCCATTGTTGCCTAAGCCCAATTATCAGAATGTTCTCAGATCTTGTGCACCCTACCCTTGGTGGAGCATGAAATATATTTCGTTAATCATGGACGCACAGAAGAACATTGGAAGACTTGAAATCACATAGTTGGGTGGTTTTCAATGGGTGAATGTGGGAGCCTCAGACTTCGACTTTTCTGTGGTTGCACCTTTTGTCCTTAACGTCTGGCATTACACCTAACATAAGGCCACACCTCAAGGGCCCTTCCCATAGAAGTTTTAATTCATTATTCCTTGAGGTGTGGCCTGATGTTAGGTGTAATGCCAGACGTTGGGTCAAATTCATGTGTCAGCCATTGTTTATTTTCATCTCGTCTTTGGCAAAAACGTCCTCATGTCTCCGTTACCCACAACAGAGCAAATCACCGGGGCTGTGTATTTTAGCTGTTTTTCTCAGGATGTGAATCAAGCCTATTGTGTTTCTCCAAACATGCCTACAGCAAAAAAGTGGCTTAAACAGTGTCATGTTACATGTATTTATGTTGAAATTCTTTCGCACCGTACTATAGCCAGCCGTGCAAATCGGAGGTGCAGATATATATATATATATATAAATGTTCATACATAGAGGAGGCATACACAGAGGAGCCTGTTACATGTTTAGTTACAAGTCTGGAGCCAAGCACAAACTTTTTTCTATTTTCACTTGAGAGCAGGAACGGAGATCATCATGCAATAATTGAAATGCAACTAAAGACGGCGTCTTAAATTGTTTCCGATGAATTACTGTGGTCGGTCTTTGTTCACCAAACGGCAGTGTATTGGTAGTGAAATGTACGTACATTGTCTGCGCGCATGGGATCCCCTAGGCCTTCTGTGGCCCCACATTCCTGCTTTTGGAGCAGCCAAGTGGACTGCGCAATCACCCGGACACGGTGGATGATCTCTTCCGGCTGGCCACAAGGTGAGGACATGACACCTTGAAGATGTGTTGACTGCCCGCCACTCACGTGTCTGGTGTCATGAATACAGTTTGTACTTCCCAGTGTCACCATGAATGCGTGGACTGGTTTTTTCTTTCTCTCTTGGTGGCATTTCACAAACATTCAGTGAAACAGGATTTGCTATTATTAAAAGTGCCAATAAAAAAATATTAGTTAAATTTTCCCAGTGAAATATGCTCGCTCTCTTAAAACAGTAATATAACGTTTCCAAAACTTACTGTGCAATCATAGTGTGCAGTTTCATTGGCGGTATATTTGTTTTTCATTTCTTTTTGCATCCGTTTTGTTTTTTGTACATTTTGGCCGCGGTGTTTGAATATCCAGAATGGTGTTAATCTACGATCTTGCAAACGCTATTTGCTGTTGATAAAAAAAATAAGCGAATGTACTTGAAATAAGATTTAACTTGCCTCGGCGCACATGTGTGTGGCCCGCTGTGGTAGAGCGGCTTCCCCTATACCCCCAGCTTTTATAAGCGCAGCAACCAGAGCTATCACAAGGATCATCAAAGCAATGTTTTGTCATCGGATTTTTTTTATTCAATGGCAGATTGAAAGGAAATAGGATGAGCCTCTTTCATATCACTGCAACATACACACCCAATAAGGCAACTTTCCCATCGTCTTTTCTGCCTTAGTTATAGCTTTCCTATGCCACATGCCATATGTTGACGTACGTATATACGTGCACTCTTAATCCTAGAGACGGTTAAATCCTTGACGTGCCATGCAAAGTAGCGGCTGTGGCAGTAATAGGCACCTGCTTGTGGTCATGACCTGTCAAAAGGATCGGATGTCTCGGTCACAAAACGTAAGGGACACTTGAAGTGCCTGTGTTAAATTTCGATTTAAGCTCCTAAGCTCCTAGCTTGGTAGTGTCTCATTCTTCACCGGAAGACGGCTGCTTGCGTTGTAGCCGAAACGTCGTGAGAATTATTTTATTTTATTATGTTTTATTTGTATTATTTTATTACTTCCCTTCTACGTGACTTTACCGAAAGAACCAAGAAGAAGGTGCCTGTGTTAGTGACACAACGTAAAGGACTCTTAATCTTTCACAATTTGTCTGCAGAGCTAACTTAGGAAGCACAAACTGACCTCTAAACTGTTCATACTTTCTATGCTTTTCTTAGCTTTTCAACAGAATTTTGTGTAATGTGATTAGCACTCAGATCAGGCTATAAAATAAGCCAAGCATCACATTTCTGTAAATGTAAAAAAAAATTAATCTTAAAGAAACATTCAAGTTCACTTTTCTATCCTCTTTGACTTAAAAAAACTGGCAGTAGCTCAGAATACAAACAAGCTCCATCAAACACTGATTTTCAGTCATTTTGTTAGCTTTTCATGAGTGAGTCATTGATCAGAGTTGCATTATTCGTGTATGCGGGCATGACGTTTGTCTGCCATTAGTGCTTGTTTCACAACTGTTAATTTCACAGAGTTATGCCACCTTATTCCCAGTGACTGAGATGTTGGCATGTTGGTGCACGTGAAGCTGCCTCGGGCCCTGCCCCCCCCCACCACGATTGAACAGAAGCGGCGGCGTGGATGTCTGAGCAGGCTCACGACACGCACCGCTGCACCCGGCACTGACATTTATCTTGGGATTGTAGGGCTCTAGCAGGAACACCTGGGGCGTTGCTTCCCGACATCGGATCCCCCTTGCTTGCTCATTTCAGACCCTCTAATCTACAATGCATGCCTCACTGCTTCTTCGAGATAGTTGGAAGTACTGGTCTTGTCCAGAGCAGTTTAGCTGTATTCTTCTTTGTTAAAATTTTATACGAAGACATTATTTAATGAAAGTTTTGTTATACTCCCATCATGGCTTTGCTAAAGAGTTGAGTTATTTATAAAACAGTGCTGATAAAACCTGCACATGTTTTAATGATGCAATGAGACCTCTGTATTTAATTCCCATTTCTTGTCTTTTCCCATGTGGTCTCATCTTGTAGATCCCAATCAATCCCCATGGATACACTATTATATGTTTCTGCTACAAGCATCTCTGTAATATTTTGGTTAATATATCCCGGAAAAAAATCTGTTCCTACCTGTTTTTCAAAACATGCACAATCTGACGCGACGGCATGCACCCCGTGTCAGGTATATGTGTCATAGCGATGCATAGCGACGCACTGCTCCATGCATCTGTGCCGTGTCCTTTCTTCTCTCGCTCCAATACTCCGTCTCCCCATGCTTTGTCTCACTCTCTCGCTTCAAACATCCCTATGATTCGTCTATCTCCACCTCTTTCCACGCAGCCTGGTGCTCAATGATGCGGCTGATGATAAGGGGCCCCTATGATGCATCATTAGCGTATGTCTGACCATGTTACGGGAAATGCATAAAGTGAGAGAAGCAGAGACGAGCAGATCACAATGGAGTGCGACTCCATTATGATCTACGACGCCAAGAGACACATGACGCAGAGATATATGTATTGAGAGAAGCAGAGAGAGAAGCAGACAGTTTAATAGACATGTAGTGACAAGCTTTTGTAGCACAGATCAGAGAGGCATTGAGGGAGAAATAATAGCAGAATTGAAGAAGCATACAGAAATTAATATATGCTTTTTATGATAGGAGGTAGCATTCTCTGATTTAATATTTTCCTGGATCCAACGAGATTTTTTTCTCACCGTCTTGAGGAATGGTAGATTGAGGTTTGAACGTAATTAATTAATAATTTCCAACCCTTTATCGATCCTCTGCTGGATGAAGGCCTCTCTACACCATCAGTCATGTGTGTAATTTTCCATACGTTGCCATGCTGGTTTGTGCAGATTGGTCAAGGCAGGTAGGAGACGGTTCATATACCACTCGCCACTGATGTTAACTGTGGCTGGGATTCCAATTCATGTCACCAGATTCGCAGCATAGTTTAAGACCCACCGCACCTGTACTCCACCCTTCACTGTAAATGTTTCACCTAATAATAAAAAATCTTTGCTCATGATTTGATTAAAGTTTGGTGTAGCTTGTATCTAGCTGGCTCTGATATAATAGTTGACAATCCACAGTCTTATGGAAGATGGACCACTGTTTTACTTGCCATTCAACAAATACTGAGTTACAATTCAGATGGTGCATATTTACAGATCCCGCACCCCCCCCAGAAGGAGTATTTGGTGAACTTATCCCCAATGTTGCACAAACACACGACTTCTTATTTGAGAGCCTTCCACTCTCACACAGTTAGGGCCAACCCCCCACCCCACTACGGAGCGACCAGCAGTGATTTCAACGATGGCCGTCTCCTCCTGCCGTGTCATGCGCAGGTTCATCCAGCGGAGCCCCGTGACGCTTCTGCAGAGCGCCGCCATGCCGGCCATCTTGCAGTGCGCTCTCGTGGCCGCAACCCTGGACCACCGTGACGCCAACTGCAGCGTGATGAAGTTCGTGCGCGACATGGTGCACACCGGCATCGTCAATGACGTGAGTGTCGCGACCACCACCACCACCACCACACCGTTTTCTGCTCTTAGTTCTTTCGATAAAGTCACGTAGGTAAAAAATGAAATTAAAATGAATAAAAATAAAACGATAAAATCACGACGTTTTTTTTTTATTAATTTTAATTTCATTTTTTCCTACGTGACTTTACCGAAAGAACTAAGAGTATGTATCCTTGCAGTCACGAAAGCTTCAAATCTAGAACCATTTTCTACGTTGTCCTGTAGCCGTCATCCTTGAGCAAACCTCATCCACGGAAGAAGGCGTCGATTGCATGGCGGCTATTTCCCATGTCGTTTTTTTCTCCCGAAGCAAACGAGTCTTGTGTCTGATTAGGAATGAAATCTTCCTTAATAATTTTTGTTGAAGCTCCTTGTCAATTCACTGCTTGTTTCGGGCTTCCCCTTGCCAGGTTAATCATGGGTGTTTAAGCATTCGTGCATTATTTAATGTGCTGCCCTATAAACCTGGAGTTCAATTCCTGACAACAGCTGACATCAATGGCAAGAGATATCTGATATGATCCCTGGCTTCTCCCCATTGCCCAACCCACATTGACCAACGTTGTGAAGTATAGTAAAAAAAGCCTTTATAATAATATATGTAAATGTGTTCTTGACAGGAAGTTCACAACAGGAATATCCAGCTTGCTTGCATGTCAAAGTTATGGTCTTCTGCTCATATCCTGAAATAGCTGAAAATGTGGATGCAGTTTCTTTGCAGAACAACAAAGAAACTGCATCCTGGATGCATCCTCCCGTTGCCATTCGTGCTGTAACTTTGATAAATGTTTGGGTGTAATCAGTGCTGCTGTGTGTGTAGTTTTATTTGTTGCCTTGTATCATTGTTTGATTAAGATTTTTTTGTTTATTATCCTGTGCCCATGTGAACGTTTTTCTACAATTTATTTTTTAAAAAGATTGCTCCGACAAAACATTGGCTTTACAGTACAAATTGTCCTCATTTTCAGCAAAATCACTATATTCTTCACACATTCTCTTATGATTTGCACATAGATGAGCCTCTACAATAGGCAAAGTGTCAGATTTGTGTAAATATGTTTTTCCCTTTTGTAAAATCTCTTAGGCATTTTAGTAGTCTCTGCCAAGATGGTCTGAGCATCAGTATGTATATTACTGTAGCCTAGTTTGTGTGACGGTATTTGCACATGTGCTTGCTTCGGGTTGCATATACACTATAAATTCAGCCCCCCTTTTTTAAAATAAATATACAGTATAAAGTAAGGAAGCACATTCTCATTTATAGTCTGGTCATGCTCGTGTAATATGAGGTAATGAGTTAAACTGTGTAATGTGTATGCACTGCAATTGCTTCATAATACGCAATACAGCATGCCACATGGCAACCAACCTGTTAAATACACAGAAAGGGCATTGCAGGTCACTGGCAGCAATACCATCACGTCAGAATAAGTTGGTGTGAACAAGGCTTTTCAAACCCATTGGAGCGTTTAAGGCTGGGACTAAAGGACCACAGTTGTCGGTGCTATGTTTGTTTGTAACATCAAATCTGTGTTGTCTTATATGCACGGGGCTTTCATTTATTTTGGTTCTCACGTCTGTATTCTATCAAGTGGGGGTAGCGAAACACAACATGAGAGTATTGATAAAAACAATCTCCCCGTTGGTCACCATTAAACGTCTTTGATAATTCACCTTCAGCCAGCTGCAGGGAGTAAAGATAATACAGACTAAGATTAGACCTCATGGAAAATATTCAAAAGACACGCTGTAGGCAGCCCGTCCTGATTACAGTGCATCAGCGCAGATAAGGGAAGCGGTATTTACTGTCCCATTAAACAATTGCTATTCACACGGAGCGAGATTGGGGATAGGCAAGATGAAGCCATGCTGCTTGCCGCTGCCACAGAACGGTCTGTGTTGAGCACTATCGTTTCACTCACTCGCCGATACTTCGCACCCACCGGAGTACGAGGGCACAAACCCAGCGATCGGAGTTTGTCTGGTCACCCGGGGAAAAATTCCCGATGCGTTCGATTTCCTGTTAATTGGGCAGCCCCATGTGCTTTTCTGAAAATAAGTATGTTTGGTTTTTCGCAGCTTGGCTTGCCCCCAGGTCGCGTTGAAATGGCACTTTGCTTGAGCGCATTGTGGTGCTTTGTGGTTCGTTCATATACGCAGACCTCGACTGGGTTATTGCTGTAACTGCATTAGTGCCGGGTGAAAGTTGAACTCCTCAGCTCGGAATTGTGGGATACGAATCTTCTCGGGTTGTTTAGGTGTTGTGTGTTTGAGTGCTCACGTGAAATACTTCTCAGAGCTCGAAAAAGAATTGTAAATTCCCTGCATGTAAGAATGGTGGGAATCCTTCTATGTGTAATGCGGGCGCGGGCGACCTCCCGGATGTGACGTCACGGAGAGGTGGAGTTAGGTGACGTGGGAGCAAGGTTAAGGTTCTTAAGGGAGGAGACCGGAAGAGGAAGGGAGAACGAGTGGGACTGGACCAGAGTAAGGCCACGTGGGCAAAGCCAGAAGGGGTGGCAGGTTCGGCCAGCGGTGGCCAGCTAGGGGAGCAGCCAGCGGAGCTGCGAGAGAAGACAGCGGTGGGGCTGCTGGAGAGAAGGCGGACGAGGAGCTGCGGTGAACACAGCCGGCGAGGCTGTGTGTGAGGGAGAGGCTACGAGAGCGACGAGAGGAGAGAGAGGCTGAGAGAACGACGAGAGGAGAAACTGCAGGAGAGCAGCCAGTGGGGGCTGCGTGAGGGTAACAGCCAGCAAGGCTACGAGAGCAACAGGAGACCAACAGAGGAACTGTTGGCGTGACGGGGTTAACAGCAGTATCAGTGTCGGTATAGAAGTCTTATAGAAGGACAGCCGTGTGGGTTACGAGGAAGAACCGAATAAAGGACACCAAGCCAGACTTCGTGGTCGAGTCCTTTATTACATATGTATGGAGAGACATTTCTATGAATGATATGAAGACTGCATATAAATATGCACCAGAATAATAATCATGCAGTTTATTGGGGGAAGCAGAAAAACGCATATATAATAAAATAAAGTAAACTTGCACTATTAACTGTACCCCACTAAAATATTAGGGAGAAAATAGAGACGTTTTTTTATTGCAAGGCCTCTACAAATCTCCCACCAACCTCATTATACGCTTATGATATATGGAGCCATAATTTTCTCAGTGTTCAGTCACCTGTTCAGAGCAGAGTTAAGGGATCATTAAAATTCAGAGGAGTACTTGTAAATAGCCTTTCTAATAAAAATGTGTGCTCTTGGCTCGTGGTGTTTTGAGTCACTCCCTTGCCTTTCACTGAATTGTTGTGATTCGATTTTTTTTATACCTTTTAATGGTCTCTTGTGGCTAGATGGGGGTGACGTGAACTTATCTACATCCAGGGTTTACAAATATAAAACCATAAATTTGTATGAGAATCAATATTAAACAATTGATGCATCTGTACACCCATGCTGTTAACACACCTTTGACACTTTGGCGACGCAAAAAAATAATACTTTGACTGCAACACTTTTTTTCCTTCCTTGGTATTCAGATGCTAAATAGTTTTTTTGTGAACTCTGCTTGGAAGTGATACATTTTGCACTAATGGGTGGTATGCTCTGCAATGATAAGCTCCCCAGTACTGGCACATCTTACAGTATCATTAATATGATTATTTATCTACATATATAAAAGGGAAATTTGTGAATGTGTGTCTGTTCAAAATGCTTAGCGTACTTCCCGACATGCAACAAACTTGAAATTTGCCATGTGGGTACTTTCCAGACTGTGTACACCATGCAAAAATTATAAAAATAGACTTTTGTATTTTTTATAATACATAATACATAGATTTTGCACGGCAAGTGAGCTGTGGCGTCACATCTGTCATGTGACCCGTGTGCGGAAGCGTAACGGAGTGTGCCTGCTGATCGCGGGTAAAGTGAAATACAAATGTTTTGCAGGTCTAAGGCGTTCTTCGCGCAGCGTTGCTTTATTATTTCAGTCGTTTACTGCCGTACGCACCCTGAAAGTTGTGTGTGTCTGCTGCAAGCGTTTGTATGTGTACCTATGGACGCGCGCGTGTGTGTGGGGGGGGGGGGTGGAAGTGTAGTGGTTAGCGCGCTGCGCTACGAACCCGGCGACCCGAGTTCGATTCCTGCTCACGGCCACCACCGGTGACGATTATTTGAACCGGTCCTGGGCCTCCCCTAGGTCGACTCAGCCTCAAACGAGTAACTCGTGTGGTGTGTGAACATCGCCACTGGGGGGGACAAAGGCAGCCGGGCGTGGTAAATCCAAGTCCCGGGCGAAGCCGGGTAGTAAAGCTAGTTATTCATAAAATGCATTGAATGTGCTTTTCTATTGAATGCCACAGCGGTTGGCAGCGAGGTTAAATAAAAATTCCCTGTTCTACCACTGCCAATAATTATGTTCATTAAAGCTTGCATCTCTCTCACTTGTAGTGTGCATTAATTTTTGCTGTGCACATTATTGAATTTGTATTTTTTATAAATATACATATATAAAACTTTTATTCATCACGGTATAGCAATCAGAAATTTAGGTAAATTGTGCATCTGGTGATAGAATGGAAGCATGCTTCTCGCAAAAGTGTTTGTAATCATGTATTAAAAACAAAAATAGAAAATATTGTTACATGGGTAGTTATGGTGTCATTGCTGTTCACGCATTTATCACTGCACAAACCCTTAATTCTGATGTAAAATGCAATTTAGTGCAGCTAGATAAATGTCTTTTATTTGAAATTTCTGTGTGTCTACAGCTCCTTGCCCAGTCTGTGTTAAAGTGATTTCAGTTGCAGGGCAGAATTACTGTCATTGCGCGCCAATTTGACCCAAAGCTTGTTTTATCTGGCCACCGCTGCCGCCACCCGCCTGCCATCGCGATAGCAATTTGCAACATCGCAGCGTAATTGTACCCGCTTGTGTAGCCCCTTTGTTAGCAGTTCCCATATCCCAGAGGAGAGGGCAGGAGTTAACGCGTCATCTGGTTAGAACAATCACTTTGTTATTCTGAGTTGTGTTGCCTTGAAAGTGAGCAGGCGTGCCCTCGGAGTGTCCTCTTCTCCAGCCAACAGTGGCTTGACAGGCTTGAGAATCTTTATCAGAACCTTTATTTAGACTGCAAGAGGAGGAATCCAATGAGCTATAGAGCTTTTTTTCACCGATGTCAGGTATGGGCGGGTCAGCAAGTCACCAACACCAAACAATACAAAATACCGATAGGAGTGCAAAATAGATACAAAGGTGAGGAAGTAACTAAAAAGTTATAAAAACCCGAATTAAAACGCATGGGCAACACAAGAACTGAACAGTCCCAGACCGCACCAAAATTTTACACAGTCCCCCAATAAAATGGCACATGAACATTGTTGTTGTCGAAATAGTCTGAAGGCCCAGTTGCTCTGGTTTTGATCATTACCGCCTGCAAGCTGAGAATATAAAAACGTGACATTGTTTCCATTTGACAGCAGATGGCATGTGGGGGCAGATGAGTGTGATACACGCCACACACGTCGAACCACGATGGCAACAATCATGCACGCCTCTGTTGTGTTTATTAACGAATTCAAGAAGTGCCGTTTGATACGTGTATGGCAATAGGCCACTTTAACACGGATCAATAAGATATTTAAATCAGGAGAGCAGTGCATCAGAATTTTAATCAGTGTTTCTCAGTGTTTAATGACGGAGTAGGAAATAACCTGAAAGTGAGAGCGTTTGAAAACAAATTAATTAATAGACATTAACTACTAGTTATTACCAAGTCCAGACCCTTGGCCATAATGAATAGCTTTTGGAAGAAATGAATCATCAGACGGTTTACAAGATCTTTCCACCTTTGCCCTTACACCCTCAAAAAAACTGAAGTTCAAGCCTTGTCATTTTTGATTAAATGTAATGATATGAACAATACATCCTTTTGTTACATCACGACAAAAGAACTCTGAAAAATGAAACTCCCAGCCGCTGTAATTGACAAGATTAACAAGTGTGTTGGGCCCCGTGCCTTCTGATCTAGGCCAGGTCGGCCAAACGGTCGTCTCGTTGTGTTTTTTTTAAATTACAACCCTTCCTTGAGGTGAACGTGAATTATGGAACTCCCCTTTCAGAGTGTAATTACATGGTTTGATGGACACCTCCCCCCCCCCCCCCTTTTGCTGTCTGGCCACGAATGTATGTTGAACTTCTTTTGCGCCGTACGCAGCCAACCGTGCTAATCGCGAGCAGAGAAGGCTTAGGCCACTGTCTTGCTTGTCACCTGGCGCATGCTCGGCTTGTGGAACACGGCAGTAACCTGAAGCACCGTAAGCAGCAAAAACCCACTTCTTATCCTTTCCCTCGCCCTCTTTTGCCCAAGCGTGTGATTGCGTCTATCCTCTTAATAATGTATGAAGGTCCCGACGTGAGATTGGGACTGGAGGTGGCTCAGCGTGGAGTGGCTCCATACCCTTTCGCAGTCGCTGGCACCCGGTGTATTTTTAGGTGTTGATGTACGCACACGTGGCCAAATTTGTGTTTATTCACACCCAGCGAAGAAGGGGCTGGAGGCAGCTTAGAGATAACACATTTGAAGGCCACGCATGCTAAATTTTAACTACAGCTAGAAAGTGCAGATATTGCTTTGCTTGAAACGTGGCTTGGGTTTTAGTGCAAGTTTTTTTTTACGAATGAAATGGGTAGTCTAAAAAGGTTACACCACCCGAATAATGAACTTATCTGGCATTCTGTCTTCATTAAATAATTATAAGTCAATGATTTTAGGATGTGATTTATTTATGCTTCATGTAGTAATGTATTTTATTAATCTAAGAAAGCCTCACTGTCAAGACTCGTTAATAGGGTCTAGTTCCATCTGAAAGGGTGTTTTTGCCTTGAGACTTGTTTTATTCATTAATATCATCAACCAACCCTTGCCTCCAAAGTACTGGATTACATGCGAGGGCCAGTGTGTCGGCTATAAAGTGAACGGGCATCTGCATCTGTTTATAATACCATTGCCACTACAAATTAATCTCATTTGCACCAGTGCGTTGTGTAAATTGGTTTATTTTGACGATGTGAACAATTCTGGCAGAAATGGTCATGATGTTCACTATCATCTCCCTATTGTTTTGACTGGGAAATCCTAGCTCCACAAAAGGCCAATATAATTCATGATGAAAGAACATTCTGAGAATTATTAGCAGCAAGTCAGCTTTTCTGCAGATGTTGTGCGCATTACAGTACACTGTGACCTTCTGTTGTGACATTGACATGGGATGTCTGAAGTGACCAGATAGGCAGAGGCTTGTTTCTGCCAACCAGAAAAACACAGGCAGGCAAGTCCACTATTAGGTCAACACTAATATACAACATTCCTTATCAAAGTTACAGACATCTTCTTGGTTCTTTCGGTAAAGTCAAGTAGAATGGAAACAATAAAAAATAATAAAATAAAATAATTCTCACGACGCTGTCTCCCCGACAGACCTGGTCTTCGCCTGATGACGGCTGCTTGCGTTGTGGCCGAAACGTCGTGATAATTATTTTATTATGTTTTATTTTATTATTTTTATTGTTTCCATTCTACGTGACTTTACCGAAATAACCAAGAAGATGAAACCCTGCAGTCACGAAAGCTTTAAATCGAAAGTTACAGACATCTTTGATGTGCTTTCAGTGTGCACAGCAATGGTACTGTATATGTGCACATTGTGTTGGAATGACTAAATTATATTTAGCCATCCTGGTGCCGTTTTTCTAGGCATTCTCACAGATAATGTCATTGTACAGGGTGTGTGCGAGGACCAAAATAGTGTTTTTCATTGCATGGACATTGTTGTTATGTGTTTGTGTGTGAATCCTTATATAATGCATTGTTTGTTCGTCATTAGAAGTGTTGCACTTATAACGATTAACATTAGTGGTGGATTTCTTGGCTGTACCTTATATCAACTCGGCCTTTAAATGAGAACCTGGTGCACTGTAAACATCAGCACAGGGGAGACAATGGTGGGTGGTGGGCATGGTGCTAACCACAAACTCACCTCACTCGTAACACTTGCCCTTTCAGATCATCGATAGTTGACCACATACATGTTTGCTCGCATCTGTGGCCTTCGTGTTTGTGTGTGGGACCCTACCTTTCGAGCACATCGCACGGCGTGCGCGTGAATATACGCGCCACTGGAAAGACACGCAGTGCTCACTCGGGCCAAGCGAGCACAACGCCGTTGCTTTGCGTTCCGCCTCGTTACGCGACACCTTGAAGAATCGGTTCGGCATAGCCGAGCAGCGCGCGGCCGCGGCCCGTCCATCGCGCGGGTTTTACTTATCGGTGCGCCGTGGCCGCCGTGTTGTTGCGTGCAGCACAAGGAGGACTTCGAGGCGCGCCGCGAGCTGGTGCACGGAATTCTGCAGCAGCATGGACAGGTGCTGGTGGATCGCCTGCTGCAGGCCGCCTGTTTCTACCTGCCCCCGTCCACACTATCCGACCTCTCTGAGGTGCTCTGGGAGCTGGAGCTCTTCGACCGAGCGGTACGTAAGTGTGGCACCCTGCCCTGGCTTAGTCCGTTGCCGTCACGATACAGTCATCGTAGTTTTATTATCGTCGGTGTTAGTATAGTCGACGGAAGCCTGTGGAAATTTAGTCATATCTTAAATTGTGAATTTCATGTAGTCACTTTCTTAGTGTAATTTACTAAAGCAGTCGAACGTTGCCCACTCTTCATTTATAAATATTGCTATGAGTCAATCAGTGAACTTTGTCATTATTTTTATAGAAATATATCGTCAATTACTATGTTCGGTCTTCCGTAGACAACTGCGGTCAAAAATATGATCTTGGTTTGAGGCTTCTTTGAGTCTAATTAATTTTGTCTCTCCGTAGTCACTCGTGCTGCGGACTTTGGTGGATAGACGTAGGAATTGTCACATGAGGTTTTTGTCCATTCATTGTTTAAAATAAAGAAATGCATTGTTGACAAAAATATGCATTTCCGAATTTAAGTTCACAGAATTAACACTGGTCTGTCATCCCTTTCTTTGCCTTGCTTTGACGAACCCTATCCTGGCTTATCGCCTTTACCAATATGCACCTCTGCTGAGCCATGCTGAGCCTGCTCCACGTTTTGGTCTATTAGAGTCATTCTGATTGTGCCCTATATGCCCCTGTCTCGGAAACTGCGCAGTATTCATTCAACGATGCAGCTCCCCACAGTGCTTCAATCAATTGATTGTCACGATTCGATATAGGAATGTATTTTTTTGGTTTGTACAATAAACGTTTGATTTATTAGCCTATACACAACAATTGCATTTCCACCCACCCGCTCTTTACCACAAGAGCCTTTAGAAGAGCTTCATTGGCACAATGCCACAAATTTAAGGGCCCACGCTGTTGAGCTTGAATGCTCCGATAATATATTCAGCTTTTTTCTTCTTGGTTCTTTCGGTAAAGTCACGTAGAAGGGAAGTAATAAAATAATAAAAATATGTATTTATTATTTTATTACTTCCCTTCTACGTGACTTTACCGAAAATAATAAAAATATTTATTTATTATTTTATTACTTCCCTTCTACGTGACTTTACCGAAAGAAGCAAGAAGATGAATCCCTGCAGTCACGAAAGCTTTAAATCGAAATATATTCATCATTGCTTCTAAGTCTGTCTGCCTCTGCTCTGTTGCATTTACGGTAGTTAAGTCTGGTTACACAACTGAATGTCATGTTTGTGGAAATTAGAAGTGATGGGCAATAACAACAGTTGGCATAAACATTGCTTTAAAGAATGTTGTTGCATCTCATAAGAACATGCATGAGGCTGCATAGAATAACACATTTTCATTGTTTCATTTAAGTTAATTGTAATCGTCATTTTTATCTCAGTATTTATGAATTTCCCAAATAAATCCCTTATTTTGCATGATGTGCTCTACATTAACCAATGGGTCACTGTATAAACATACGATTTACGTCAAGCGCGTCTTCCCCAGCTTTGTTTAGCACATAGTTGCTCCCAAGTATTTATAGATGAAAGTGGACTGCATGGCTTTATGCCATTGTCGTGTAGATGCTGAAAAATTGTGTACAGAACGTCACATATACAACAACTCTCAAACTGTTATTTTCTACGGATGTTAACTAATCTGATGTTTTCACATATTCGCCTATAAGTCAGTACCTGGCGAGTCGAATGTGCCATGTGTTTTTTTAGCGCCGTACACCGGACACAGCACCTGTTAATGTGCAGGTGTTTATTTGTCATTCTTCTCCAAGGTGTCACCTTCTGCGCTTAACTGCTCGAAGATAATTCGGCTATAGATGCTTTCGTCTTTTTTTGTATGAGAACGAATGGTGACCTCCATACAAATGAGTTCGGCCTAAAACCGTCTAATGTGATGGTAGCGAATTATCAGCGATGCTCCGTTGTCACAACAGGTAGAGTGGGGCAGTGTGTTTTTCACTTTCTGTACTTGAAGCCACTGTGTGGATATTCAGTTCTTTCACCAAATGTTCCTCAAGGCGCGTTAACACTCGCACTCACGGTTGGCAGGCAACACACTGCTGGCGTACCTAGTGCAGGAACACGAGGGATGACAACAAAAAAAAACTGTCGCTGTCTCTGCAACACAGCAATCACCAAAGCCACTTTGGAATGTTGTTGACCAGACCTTCTGCCGGTGGCTGGAGCATTCCCTCAAGGGTCTTCCCAAGGAGTCGACGGGAGGAGCCGTCACTGCCACCCACAAACAGCTGACAGACTTCCACAAACAGGTCACAAGGTGAGCCGACCTTAGCTCCATGTCTTTTTGATCCTGCCTGATTGTTCATTTAGCGCCTCATTTAGCTCTCACTCAAACGTGAGTGATGGCTCGCCTGCCTTGTCTGTAGACTGCGTGTGTTTGTGTGTGCTTGTGTGTTTTTGGTTCTTATGGTGTTTAACACTTGACCACAAATTGGATGGCCCACATGCCTGCAATTGGTGGAGTCTTTGCGCACTGCTCACGTGCACGCAATACTGTAATTCTTCCCACGTTAATACCACAATATATAATCTGTAGTAATTTGTCACTCTTAGGCCGATTTAATCTGTTGATTTTTTTTTATTGCAGGATTAAAACATAACGGCTTATCAAAATATTCTTTGGAACGATAATTCGTTTAATACACGGTTTGCATTAGAAATAAACATTCCAGAATTATGCAAGCATTCCATTGCAGGTGCTGCTGCCAACCATTGTACAGTACTCGGCGCAGACTTCTGCGTGCGTTTTATGTTGCATTCAGCGCTGAATCCAGGGATAATGGAGACAACTTTTGACTTGTATATGATTTCAGTGTTTTTGTGAATAGCTGCATGGTCTAGGCCAGGGGTCGGCAACCAAAATAACAAGAAGAGCCATTTCTTTCCAATTCGGTACAAAATTCAGTATTTCAAGAGCCGCAATGCATCTGAGTACATACTGTACTCATCGTCAAGAAGCAGCCCGTAAAGAGCCGCATGCGGCTCCGGAGCCGTAGGTTGCCGACCCCTGGTCTAGGCAAAATGAAAATTGTGCCTCTGGATCTTTTGGCCCAGAGCGTGAGGTTGGGCCCCGATGTGAGTGCCCTTTATACCTTGGGTCTCTGTGTCAGAGTCGAGCTCTACATAGCTACCGTCTGCATCTCCCTTTACTTAATGATCTATGCGTCAAAGGCTCGGGGTTATTACAGTGTCACGCAAGCGGAGACGGGATGTCCCTGGACACACGTAAAGAGTTGTAACCTGCACCGCAGAGCTCGCTGATGGTATTATATGCAGCAAATCATTTTTGTGCTGTGTAAATGGCTGTTAGATAGCTAATTCATTTGGACCTGGTGTAATTTAAACATGCTGTCTCTGAGATGATGGCCAGACCCTTTCTCACACACCCAGACCACACTTGGAAAAATGAGGTTTGCTCAGTGGAAACAAAGTGCTTTTGGTAGGTGAGTTTTGGGATGACCCCTGAGTGTAACCAAAACAATTGCTCTGTCCTATTACCATTCTCTTTTTCTCTCCAGCCTTTTGTGTATGGTGTTGCTATGTTATATGGGTTCGAAACTGTTCAACTTTTTACTGGCGTTAGTCATTGTGGTCTGCAACTGTCCACTAAATTAGGCAAAGGTATTCTCGTCACAGAGGGTATCTGACCAAATATGATAAAGCCAATAAGACACTATAATATAGTCTTGTCTTTTTTCAATGGGTGTATTTGTGAAAACCCAGGTGCTTTCTGTTCATAATCGTTATCGTGTGAATGCTTCCTCGTGTGCTGGGCCTTTCAATGGAACATACTGAAGTCCGATTACTGGTTACTATTTTTTGCCGCACTCCTCATCGGAGTGGTTAGCGAATGCAGCTGAAGAACGGTGTGCTCATAATGATGCCTGTGTGTGTGTGTGTGTGCATGTGTGGCCTGCAGTGCAGAGGATTGTAACACAGTGACCTGGGCTCTGCGAGAGTTCACCAAGCTGTACAGATAGCCACACAGTGGACGTACTGATGGGTGAGTGCCCCAAGTTACAGGCGCCGTTGTTGAGCTCATTGTTTTTTCTGCCTCCCCGCCCTGAAGCCACTTCGTGCCTGAACCTGTAATGGGTGCCCAATGAGGCATCTTGTCACATTACGTTGAGTTTTCAAACTGTCATGATATGTGTTTGTGTGGGGAGCGGTAGTGTAGCAGTTGGCGCGCTGCGCTACGAACCTGGTCACTCGAGTTAGATGCCTGCTCGCGACCAATATGGGTGATGAATATTTGAACCGGTCTTGGGCCTTCCATTTATTGACTCGGGCTTAAATGAATGCGGTACCTAGTGCAGTGTGTAAATATCAGCTTTGGCAAGACAACAAAGGTGGTTGGATGTGGTGCTGGCCATACCACTCCCTCATCTGTTGTACTGGACATCATAGGTGTTTATGAACAGCACTTTCCCCAACAGTCTGCTTAAAGGCTATTTGGAGGATCTTTATCTTTGTGTGTGTACACATATATTGGTAGGGTAAGGACAATTCGCTACGAGCGCAGCAACCTGCATACAATTCCCAACTACAGCAAACATCATTGGTGAATATAAACCACTCCTGGACCTCCTCTGGGTCAACTTGGCCTTAAACGAGTACATGGTACAGTGTGTAAAAATGAGCACTGGGGTGAGAAACGTTAGCAGCAGCTTTCACAGCCGATTTCTATTAACACTTGGCTGAAAGCCTATGAAGGCTACATGGGGGATCTTTGTATTTCTGTAAATGTCACACATTCTTGTTAATTTAAAATAAACGTGTACCATTATGTTCTTGGTCATAACATGAGGAATTCTAGCTGACTGTTTACATGGAGTCATTTGAAATTAAATACATTGTAATGCACTGCACAGCTATTGTAATAAGTTTTTGTTCGCTGTAAGCTGCACCCATTTTTTCTTAGAATAAGTTTCTGGTTGGTTCAGCATTCAGCTTCTGTACAAGCTGCAGATATTTGTTCAACTTTGTTGAATTTGTGCAGACCATGCAATGTAAGTAGTCTGGATTTGAAGCTTTCGTGACTGCAGGAATCCATCCTCTTTGGTTGAGATCAACACATCTCACCTGATGACGGCGGTTGCTTGTGTTGCGATCGAAACGTCGTGATCTATTATTTTCTACCTACGCAACTTTACCTAATGTAAGTAGTGTTTTAATAGCTACAGCCGCTGACTGTTTACGCACATTTTTACCGGTGATTTGTCTTGGTGATTATTTCACACAGATGCTGTAGATTTTTTCTGCTTTTTCCTACTTGTCTTGTGGTTTTTGAATTTGCCCGATTGGAAGCAAAACCATGCAGATGTTTGATGACTTTGTGGTGTAGCTTGAGCAGATGACGCATGTGCACGAAACGATTACATTTCCTTTTATTTTCTACTCTTCTCTCCATCTGTTTCATTTCCCAGTACTGTCTTGCTGCTGTGTTGGCCATTGTCACTGAATCATTGTATGATTTATTGACTTCTTTCCAACAGTAGCCTAAAACGACATTCACAAACTGGGCCAAGCGCAATCTTTAACTCTCCAAAAAATATGCCCTTTTCTTGAATGTACATGTTTTATGTTAACGCTGATTGTCCACGTTGAAAAGGGTGGAATAACGCTTTACAGATGATCGTTATCAGAGCTTTGTAGTAAATACTTGTTTTTCCTGGCCAAGTTTTCTGCTTCAGCTAGCGGCAGATGCTCAAGAAATTCTTGCAAAGGCTCTTGTTAAAACTGAGTCTTGATTTGCATCTTGGAAATGGGCTTTTGCAGCATACAAAAAAAGAATAAATTTGAAGCAGACAATTTCGAGCTATATGAAGATAAAACAACTTTATTTAAATTCCTCCATTAAACAAATTTGCCTAAATTTCTAAATATTCCATGATATTTGTTTAAATTACAGTTTTACGGCACTGAACATCCAGAAAATAGTCAGTACAGATGGAAACAACACAGGCAACAATATAGGGCAGCTAAAATTTATACCACATGACATTGCAGGTCTGGAATAAACAAAACAAAATATTTTCTTAGATTGCACGCCCTTTGTGGCTACAGTACAAGAAAGCACGCGTGTGCTTTCTTGTATTTAGCCTCACTTTGGCTTGCCACTGGTATCCGCTTGTTTGACTCAAAAGCCCCTTTCACGTGCATTCAGGGTCGTCCGACGGATAACAAATTGCGAGCCGTTATGGTTGGGAGGCCAAGATACAGGAGCACCTTTCTGAATGAGTCCTCAATCTTCCTGCCAAGTGCCTAATGCCTGAATTAACTCTGTTCATTAAATATGCATTAACTTTGTAAACTGGGATTTAGCGAATGCTGCATTTTTCTTTTGTGTTTATTTACTGTACTGTAACCCCTGGGGTTCGTGGCATGCTAACAGATGTGCATCTGATTGCAAACAGTTATTTTTTTATTGTGATTTTATTTTACCATTTGAACTATTTTGTACGAGATTTGCATTCTAGTCGTGGTAAAAATAAAATGTATTGTCTGACTTTCAATGTTTATAATTTGTTATAATTTCTTCCGAGTTGCCAGGGATTTTTGGGCAGATTAGCTTAGTTGGCTGTCGATAAAACCGAAAAACGACATTTGAGGAATGCTAAATATTCATGTGTGCCTGCATATTCCTCTTTGTATGCGATTGTTAGTCACCGGTTATTACAACATGCATTTCTTGTTCATTGGCCGGGCTGGTCTTTACCTTTTTAAACCTGCAGCTGAGTACCATCGATCCACAGATTAATGATGGCTACCTGACCCATACTTCTGGAAACGTGAATTAAGCAATGCATCACTGCCTGTGATGTGGTAGTCGGGTAGATTAAGGTAACAACCAGTTGTCAGGCCATGCAATTTCGCTATAGATTCAATTCAATTAGGCTCTTGCTGATTATCTGCTACGCTTGCTTTCAAAAACACACTGACCTTTACGAAAAGTTCATCTGAAGAACATCAACTTATTGGGCCCCTGCTTGGCGCTTAAGGAATGGGCCCACCGGGTATACGAGCACGCAGGGCAGGCAAGAATGTGCCACAACAGGAATGGGGCCCCCCCTGTGAGCGGCACTCGCAAAGTCTTAAGCAGCAGCAGCAGCAGCTCGCGTGGAGCGCTGCAGGCGAGTGGCTCGGAACGGAGCGAGTGGTGCTGCTCGTGCTGGGGTAAACGAGAAAACTCGCTGCTCCCCCGGAGAGACCAGTCGACTTAAACTGCTTGTCTTGCAACAGCCAGACGGGTCGGTTGTCCCCTCCGCACAGTCTCCAGATGGGGCTCTTGTCATCATCTCCCCTAGCACGTTTGGTTGTATAGATTTATGGGAAGCCACTGGAGCCGTGCAATAAATTACCGCTGAGTGAGAGGGAACTCTATGGTGGTGGCTCTATGGATAGACTGGGCCTCTTACATCGGAATGTGGAATTTCCACCACTTCCTCATGGCCCCCGCCCAAGATGAGGAATCCTCCATGTACATTTGAGCGTGGAGATACTTTAGGCTGGCCATCGAACAAAGATACTCACTGCATCACGTGGTTTCTCCAGCCGTCTGGAGCGCTCTTCCGATATTTGGAAGTCACTGGAGCAATGCACTTTTAAATCTAGATTTAAAACTAATTTCTTTAGAACTTGCTTTTTGTGTTTAGTTTGTCCTTCCCCGCACCTCCAATGAGCACAGTTGGCTATGTTCGGTGTGAAAGAAGTAATATATACATACATCTGCACGGGAACGCACGCGCAAGTGCATGACGCTGTGTTCGCACGCACGTTTGTGCATTAAATTGCCAGGCTTGGCCTGAGCAACGTGCATTCTCACTCTGAACGTTGCTTTCATATCCATGTGGTGGAGTTTCATTGCACGGGCTAGAGTGTAAATAAACTCGGCTTATTTGTGCGTTAACCACACCTATTTACATAGCACAGTGAAAAACGTATTCCTACCACGTTTGAGCCAGTTTTTAATGTTTATTTTCATGTTGGTTTATTTTACCTCGGACTAATTTGACCACACAGTGCATGCTGCCTGAAATTGAGTTAATGGTGGAATACACAACATTACCGTTGTAGATGTTTTCAATTCAATTAAATTTGTCGTGTTCATTTTTTCTTCAAAAGTTAAGCAGTGCAACGATATTTTGTTGTCATGGTGCATTGCTCCTCTCGTTTTATTGTCTGCGTTTAGTAATTGGTTTGAAATGTAAGGGCCATTTTAAATTTGTCGAAAAGCATTGGCTGTAGGATTTCAGCAGGCAAGTTTAATTCACATCCATAATTGTTCCTTGATGAGCTTGACTTGGAAAAAGCTCAGAAGTACAGACTAAAATAATTGCTGAAGATTCTTGCATGATAGCATGCAGTGACATTTTCAAATGATTCAAGATCCCCTGAATTTATTTTCTGCCAGACGAAACTATGTTCCACGTTGCATTTTTCAGTCTGGTGCCACTATTTTTGTTGTAAATGGCATCCTTGATGTTGGGCTCAGCCTTAATATTGCTTCAGATCTTTCAGGGCTGTTTGAATGTCTGGAGGTACGAGCTTTTATTTTTTTGTGAATAGGTTTTGGCTTCAAAGCTTAATTTATGAAACAAAAATAAATTGGGGTATTAATTAGGCACTGGTGAAATCTAAGCCAACTACTTTTTCATTATAAGTTTCTATTTAATACTGCCTAACCATTTGTTTGGGAAGAATGTAATGTTGAATGTTTATAATTCTTTAAAGATGATCTGGTTTAGAAATAAGTTGTTGGAATTAAATCTGAGGTGTAGCTGATTTATTAATCTAATGAACATTCGTCTTATGTCTACTATAAAAAAAATCAGGTTCCAGTAATTATGAATTTACGTTGTGGATTTTATTGAAAACCCTTTCCAGCCCATTCGCACGTTGCTATTTATGTTATGCATTGAGGTGTTGTTTAATTTCTAACCTCGACTGGTATGCATTGTTAGGTAACAGATATCAAACCTTGGGTGGTATTGCTGCATAATTACACAGTCTTATTGATTGCACTTATACCCCCATGACCTTGGGTTAATCATATAGAATGTGCACGGTAATCGTTCACTCAGAAATATTCTTCGCTAGGCCAAAGTATTGTATGTTTTTTTGCATAAAAACTGTACCTGGTGTTGATGATAGAATGAACTCAACATTGACCAATCCTGCCAGAGGTTCCGTAATCTGTAGCTTAAGGGAGAGGAATGTGTGGCGTTTCACACAAAGGGTTGCGTGTCGGCGACAGATTTTCGGCTCCGCTCCTGTCTAGAACAGCGCACCTGGTTTGGCCTCTTAATCCGAGTGCCTCCCCAAGCACACCTGCCGTCTCCCCTGCATTGCGTGATCTTTTTAGGACTTGTCTTTATGAACGGTCCGACAATTCGCTGTGACTGCTTACTTTGCCGCAGCAGGGGGTTGGACGTGTGGCATAAACATCCCGCCCCAGCCGGTGATGATTGTAATGGCAAGCAGATGTTTTAAACACCAAAATATGTTTTCCGTAGCAGGATGTCGTGCAATTACCGCGGACATTTTGACATTATCTGGACTAGTTTTTATGATCATTATTAGTCGAGCCTGTTGCCATTTTTAACGCCTGACCCTCGGGTTGCTTTGTGCTCCATGCGTGCGCCGGCTGCTGCTCCTGGTTTGAGCGTCGGCCACATTCAAGCGTCCTGCCTGGCGTGACTCCAACCACCACTGTTTCATCCCCTTCAGACTACAAAGGCCCTTGAGGATTAGTTGCCAGCGTAACTGTGACAAGTTATTCATTTGATCAAAATGAACGAGCGGGCTGGGATTGCTCACCAGCGTTAGATGGGGTCATAGGGCTGCACGATACTTGGCTGAAACATGCGGGCTTGGGCAGACCTGCGAGAGCAGCGGAGAGTTTCCCCCGTGTGTTCTCTGTCATGCCCCCTGGCTAGGCGTGACTGGTTTAATTAAAAGGGAGTGTCGGTTTGGTCATGATTGGACGTGCCTGCCTTTTGATGAGTACATCCTGGTGTTGAACGTGTATCATCCACTCCCCCCCCCGCCCCCTTCTTTGGCTCAAGGGAAGATAAACTAATATGAAACTGATATGATCTGCCTGTGTGTGCGTGTGTGGCTCAATCTTCTGCTAAAACCCTAGGGCAAGTCACTTATTTAATAAATAACCATTACATGTCCAAATTTTTGAGGTTTTAACCATCAGAAAGTTACGTCTAATAACAATGACTCACTGCCTTCTTGCAATGTGTTTTTCTAATCCAATTAATTGTTTTTTTTAATGATTTCACATGTACTGTAGTGTTTTTGTTTGTAATTTTGCATACATTCTGTGCTACCGACTGCTGTTTTGTGCCGAATACGTCCGACGTAGCAACGTAGGCATTGTGTAAAGAATGACGATTGATGCCGTGTGTACATTCTTGGTGGCGTTCTTGCTGCGCGTGCAATCGCCTCGCTGACGGCGCCCTCTTCTCGTTTGGCGCAGGGTTTGCCGTGGCAGGTGGTGGCCTCGAGCTGCTTCTCCGCAGCCTCTGACCCTGCAACGAGCCTTGCTTGGTGCCACAATGAAGTGTGGCGAGGGATTTTGACTCCTCACCGAGACGACAATTCGCGCCGCTGGACAGTTTGTTAGACCACCTTGAACGCATCTCAATCTAGGATGAGCCTTTTCCTTTACGACACGGACATTGGGTGTAAATAGAATGCACGTGAAAAACTCGTCGGCTTGGAGGGCGGGGCAGCAATACAAGAGGGCAGTTATTGCAGGTGCTGGTGGAGGCTGGAAATGGGGAGAGAAAGGGGGGAGGGTGAATATTGTGGTAGGAAGCAGTGAGGAGGAGCACACTGGGGAGCGAAGTGGGCCTGATTGAAAGCGAGCTGAAGACACAACACACCTTGCTTTTATGGTCTTAAAGTACGCGCTGTTGCCGCCCGACGAGCAGCGCACGCGGGGCGATTGTTCGCGTCGGTTTGTCAGCATTTCCCATAACCGCTTGCTGCTCTGACTGCCACGGCGAGGCAACGCCGCTATCGCCTCCCCCCCATTGCCTTTGCCGCGTGCATTCCGGACGAGAGCGCACCACAGGGAGAGAGAGAGACGACGCCGTCGCCACGCGCACGCGAACGGGTCACACAGCGGTGACGGACACGGCGGCGATTCGGGCAACGCGCGCGTACGAACGAGCGATGAGCGGGGAGAGCAGTTTTATACGTTTTAGAGGAGCGTTTTAGAACAAAGAATGCATAGGCGGCGCGCGCACGCGTGTGTACGTTAACACCTCCAACCTTGCAGTGCCATAAATTAGTAGCGTTGAGCGTGACTCGGGAAATTGTTTGCCAGCTCCTAGCCCACAGCGCGTGCTTGATGTCCCTTGCGCAGCTGGGCAAAACCAAACCAGAATTCCAACATTAAACAGTGTTTTTTTTTAGATTTGAAAGATATATATATATTTTTTGGGTTGTAAGTGTATTTTTGAAGAGGACCCCTTTATTTGGAAGTATTTTGAATCTTTATTTAATTAGGATTTAAAACATAAAATGAAGCTGATTAATCATGTTAAAATTAAGCTAGGAGTTGTGCAAAATATAGGAACAAGCAATTGAAACATTTCTGCAGAAATTATTTTTTTCGTTTAAATGCAAAGCCAGAAAAAGAGAGATAGCCGTTTACAGGATTAGAATGATTGACATTGTTTCGCATATCATTCGAGAGCACAGTTTCATGGGCAACATTGGCACTGGTCCAGTGGCTGCCCATAACTTTGCTCGTGTCAGTCCTAACTTTAAAAGCGTGTGGCATTTAAGTTATTTTTCCAAGATGTGAAAGTGCAAAAGTAATATTTTGTACATTAAACTGGAATGTTGGGAAAGTGAGCACCTTCGCTCTGTTGTAAACCCCCCTGTTGCTTGAATCGGCCGGTGGGGAGTTTTTTTTGACGGCAGGTGGAAAATGAAGAGAAGCGGTGCGCGCGCAGATTTGCGAAACGTTGAGCTTCCTTAATTCTTTTTTTTGAGACTGTCAAATGTTTATTTTTTTTCCCCGTTCACGTTCTTCGACAGCGTTAGTTATAATTTTTTGTGTCTTTTAGCACGAAGCGGCGTTTACGATTGCTGTGCTGTGGTCACGACGGTATTGATCGTCATTCGGGTTTCCTTAAGAATTAGAAGACGAAATCAAGGCAGGCTTTGAATGAAAAATTGAGTGAGACGTACTGTGTATCATCAATTCAGAATCTCAAGCGAAGGTCTTTGTATAGAATCCTGGCAAGATTAGTACGTTTAGTACTGGAGTGGTGTACATAGTATGCACACATTACCATAGACACGGAAACAAAATGTGATTCAATTTAAATTATGGGAAACTGGTTTGCGTTAGCTCTTGCTTTTTTTGCGTCGTTATTTTTTCTTAAATCCGCCCCATTGGATTTAACTTTTGGATCAAGAAGTCTCAAGTGCTGCCGTGATGAAGCCCACAATTACCTTGCCTCTTGCCCTCGGAACATGTCTGTAATTCGGCCAGTGGCTCGCACGTCTTATGTTTTTTTTTTTCTCTTCGTAAAAGCGAGGATGCGGTCACCTCGCGCACAGGTCTCGGAAAACTCTTTGACGGGCTCTCGCCCACTCTGCGTCAACGGCTTGCGTCGGATTGCGAACGGACGGGTTTTTTTTGATGTACCTTAGCGAAATCTATAAAACTGTCGGAGATGGACTGGATTGTCTTTTTATTATTTACACCACTTTAAAATATTCAAGTCATCTTTTACACAAAACTCACATCAAAGTAAGAAATGAAGTGGCTGCCCGTTTACACAGCTGTATTTAAGTAAATCCTCATATCCAGTGACCAGCTTAATTTTGGGGTGAAGATGCATTGTAGATTGTATAACATCATTGATTGACAGGTTGAACATTTCAATAATTTTAGGGCAGACGCCCATTTGTCTCATAAATGCGGTCGTCTTTGAACTCTTTATGACTTGAGTAAAAAAAAAACATCTTTTAAAACTTCAGTAGGTTAATGCTGAAAGTGAGTATCAGTCTGACCAACAGAATTTCCTCAGGGCTTTTGTAAGGTAAACTCTGCAAGCCTCTCAACAAAGTGTCAAATGGATGATGAATCATCAGTAAAGTGAACTGCTGTGTCGACTTGAGACCAATCCAAACCCATTGGTTTCCCACCCTCATCATGGCTCAATGGTATCGCTTATGACTGGGCTACACACTCCCTGTCTCGCATCGCAAACATTCAAGGTGTTTGGTGCCCTAACTGAGCTCAGTGGACAGTCTGCAGGGCAGTAACGAACAGGATTTTTGGAAAGAGAAAAAAACACATTCTTCCAATCCCTTTATTACAATAAAAGGCAAAAATGAAAGAGTTCTCAAGGTATATTTTAGCTCCCGAGAAACAAAAACTACTCGTGCAAAGCAGCTTTCCAGGAGAACATGGTGTTCACGTAGCAGCTGTGCCTGGATATTTTAATCCAACGACCTCCACTGAATTCATTGTAATGCGTGAGAGGTGGAACGCAATTGAGTTGCCGAGGAACTGATTAAAAATCTGTTTGGGATTGTTCAACATTATCAGCATTTTAGCAAATTTACCTAGCATATCTATTCCCGTCTCTCACAAAAATAGAATACGTTCGGGTGTTAATTTATCATAGAAAGCTTTATCATATGTAGATTAGCATGCATACTGTACATTCTTGGGTAAGTGGATGAAACTTAATGTTGATAATGTTGCATGATAACATCAGGTCACAGATAGAGATGGGAATTATTTTTGCAGTTAAATTTAGATTTAAAGCTTTCGTGACTGCAGGGATTCATCTTCTTGGTTCTTTCGGTAAAGTCACGTAGAAGGGAAGTAATATTATATTTTATTTTTATTATTTTATTACTTCCCTTCTACGTGACTTTACCGAAAGAACCAAGAAGATTTTTGCAGTTTTTAAGGTTCCCCGTTTTTTTTCCTTTCAGCAGATGAAATTGGCTTGATGCTGTTAATAACATCATTGGCAAAAGTGTTCCACTGTTTTTCAGTGTCATGACTCTCTATTTGCCAAATTTGAAAATACAATAACTTAAACAAGGCATCTTTTGTTGAACGCCTGCTCGGGGCTCAGGAAAGCTAAGCTTGGGGGGGTGGCACCTCGAGTGAATGGCAGAGATGACCGGGTGGTTCAGAGGTCAGAGTGCTTAGCTGGGCACTGCTGTCAAGATGCGGAGTTCGAATCTGGGCAGCGGCCTCCGATCAAACCGGGTTCCCAAATTTAGTGGGACTGTGGTTCCAGCCCAGTCACAAAAGGAGCACTTCCCAAAACAACTTCCAATACTTAAATTTGGTGCTTCACTTAAGTTAGATGAATAGCCTTTTTAGTTTGCTTTAATATGTGCTTATTGCTTTTGGCTCGCCCTCACGTGTTTAACAACCCTGTTTCCTCCACTAAATCAAAGAGCGGTTTCCCCAAAATGAACTCCTACTCCCTAACACATGAACTCCGTCCCATGCCGGGCACACAAGACACTGAACATTCGTTATTTATTTGCATGCCCCCAGCTCGCACCACGTAACCCTCAAGAGATTTAGGGTGCTCCTGCTAATATAACTTGGGTTACTGATTTTTTTTTTACCCATTTTCACGAATCGACATTCAAATGCAGAGTTCTGTTACACAGTGAACGCCTCTGCTGATCCAATGAAGGTGAAACGTGCTGGATGGTGTTTGGGAAGCCCTGGCATTTGGCTGTGATGTGACAACTACAGTATATACAATCAGTTTGTACTTAACATATACAGGACAGTACCAATGACCTGGGCCAGTGCAATAAACACAGCCTGCCACCTGCAAGCATTGTCTACGCAGTTGTGCGTACATAGACCACAGACGCAATCGCATTGCATTGTAATGTCATTCACTTCTCCCATCGCTGCAATAAGTGCACGCATGCAAAGGACGTGTTCCATCAAAGCCACATTTATCCAGCATCATAATCCCCTGTGTGCCACTGATGCTGCCGCAGCTGTGGTTATCACAGCCACGCGGCTGCACGTACGCGCCGCCCCCACCACCCCCTCCATCTCTTCCGCTGCTGCCCCCCCTCCGACTGCTCCTCGGGCTCAGTTGGAGCTGAACGTGAACGTCCGTCCGGTGCCGTTGACGGACGGCGACGCCGGGAAGCGGGGCATGCGGTCCATGATCTTGGAGGACATCTTCCGCTTGTGGGCGCCGGGCGATCCGCCGTTCTGCCGCAGCATCTCGCGGTGCAGCGCCTCGAACGCGGCCAGCACCTCCTCGTACGAGTCCCGCGCAGACACCTCGGCGAACGGGCAGCGCAGGGCGGCGGCGAGGGCCTCCCCCTCGGCCACGGAGACCATGCGGTCGAACTGCAGGTCCCGCTTGTTGGCTACGACGAGGGCGGGCGGCGGGTCCGCCGCGGAGGGGCCCCGGCGGGCGCACGCGTGCGCGTGGTTGACGAGGAAGCGGAGGCGCATGACCTCGTCGAAGCTGCAGCGGTCGGTCACCGAGTAGGCGATGAGGAAGCCCTCGCCCCACTTGATCTTCTCCTCCAGCAGCATGTTGTCCTCCTCCTGGGGTCAGATGCGAGACGTTAACCACCTCGCTTGGCATGCAGGGAGCTCGTTGGTTCGATCCCGACCCTGATCCCCGTTGTATATTTGGAGTTTGCGTGTCTCTCTCTTTCCCCTTGCGTTTAGAGAAGTGGTTTTTAACATTAACTACAGCCTTGCACCCCTTTGGTTCTGAAGCGTTACAACATGTATAATGTTAATAGCTATGTAGGTTTAATTAAACAAAGTAGTTGTATTTATGTGCCCGTGCTTAATTTGTTTTGATGATTTACCTTATAAAAATATATGGCCATGTCTTGCACCCCCAGAAAGGGCATCTCGCACCCTCAGGAGGTGAGTGCATCTCAGGTTAAGAACCACTCGTTTAGAGTATTTTGCTGCTTTAAATGTCCATATGATGAGGCACTTCGTTGAGCTATCATTTGTGGCCAGGTCGCTTCTCAAAAAGCCATATAGCTCAGTGGGCCTTGCCTGGTAAAATAAAAATAGTAATTAAAAAATAGTAACACACGAGCCCAGCGTGCAGGGATTCGGCGAGGTGGCTAGGAGATGGTAGTACAGCCGTGTATGGGTTCGGTCCGCAGACGGATGCCCTCACATGTATGTATGTATGGTGAACTTCTTTCAACCGTGCTAATCGGAGGTGCGAACGAAGGACAACGCATGCATGCGTTTTGTCTGGATTCTCTGGTTTCCTTCCAGAAGCGAAACACTTATGAATGAAATTGGCCAAACATTCCAATGTGGGACCCTGATAACAAAAAAAAAGTATTTCGACACAATAAGGCCTTGCTCGGTACTCCAAGGGCATTGTTGTTTTTACAACATTGTATGGATCTTTAACATACACCTTTGTCAATTCAAATATAAAAGTCTCAGTTCTGGGCCTTATCTCGGTCGTTTAAGCCTCACATGAGTAGCTGGTGCAGTGTGTAAATATCGCCACTTGGGAGACAAAGGTGGCCGGGCGTGGTGCTGTCCCCTGAGCCCCTCGTGTACCGTTCGTGCCTTCATAGGTACTCGCTAACAGCACTTGCCCTGACAGTCTGTTAAAGATTATACGGGGGATCTTTGTCTTTATAGATACAGACAGCTGGCTGTGTTGGCCTGCTTTTTTGCCTACAGGTGTCTGTGTCTGTCTGCATGTCTGTGCTGAATGCAGTATTCATATGATGCATGCAACCTGAAAGAGTACCCTCATTGCATTGACCGTTTTAAGATGCCACGCTTAACGAAACGTTTGCAGTACTGTAATCGTGTGTGTTTGTCCATCAAATGTCATGCAAGCCGGCCGTTTGCAAGCAGTAACACATGGCACCGTGCGAGAAAAGTGGCGTGAGCTGGTGCCGTGACCATCACTTGCCTGTCCCGCTGTATCCAGGATCTCAAACTGCACCATCTCTCCATCTATGCCCGTCGAGTGGCGGTAAATGGTTTCTGTAGTACATGCGGAAACACGCGGCGAGTCACGATGATGCGACTCAAACAGATACTGGACGTCGCCGGTTGAGAATTTTAATTCAAACCAGTTTATGCGTACATTTAGTTTTACTTTTTAAGGGATTGCCCCCAAGTCTGTGTGTGGCGAGATGTTAACTACCTCGCCTGGTATACATGAGGTCATGCGTTCGATCCCGACTCTGACGCTGCCTGTATATTTGAAGTTGCGTGGATTTTTCTCCGGGTCCTCCGGTTTTTCCATCCACATTTAGAATCAACTTGCGTCTAGAGTATTTGACTGCTATACATTTACACATGATAAGCCACTTTGTTGATGTACCATTTGTGGCTAGGTCGCTTCTGAAAAAGAGCTGTAAAGCTCAGTCGGCCTTACCTGGTAAAATATAAATAGTTTTAGTTTAGCTTCGTTTTATAATTTATAGTTTTAAATGATAAACCGTTTATACCTCGATGCAAAATGTTGTGTTTACAGGGTCTCAACAGGGGTAAGGTGAATGAGCTCATCCCTCTGTTTCTCTCTCACTTCTGATAAGAAGGACTATGAGCCCAGAACATCTGTTGCAGCGCGTGGTAATGGTGACTGTGTTGTGATGTTTATTGAATGTGCCTGTGCACAACTGGCAAGCCAGTCTCTTAATGTGTTGTTGTAGTTTTATCGCTACGGATTCCTTCATAGTTAAAGACATTAAAAGAAAATCTTCATCATAATGATTGGCAATTATTTGAAACGTTGGAGATGGTTAGATAAATACCATGATGATCACTAACTAATAACCGTGACTTTCTATACTGGTGCTGTGGGTATTATTGCAGAATGATTTTGAGTACGGTATGATATATATATTTTAATGTACATATTTTTTAAAATCTAGACGAGGTGGCTTTGGTTTTGCCACTCAGAGCAACGCCAGCACTTTGGATGATGGCAAAGATTATTTTTCTTTCGTATGGCGGGGTGTTGATCACTAAAGTTCATGTGTAGCCTGGTAAATATCTGAGATTCTGTCAGCGAACGATTTAAGATGGCAGTGGTTTGAGATTGCTGACTGCAGCCATGGTTTGATTACTCCAGTTGACATAGAATCGATAACTCGTGGTCAGATGTGTTGCGCTGTGAATGCAACCTGCAATTAAGTAAGGGTGAGTAACCCTACATCTCAAGCACCCCACACAGTTTATCCTTAACAGATCTGCTAATCATTGGGCTTTTGTACAGCATATTTTGTTATGTGTGGTAAAAAAAAAATTATGGGGTGGCAGCCAAAGGAAATAATCGAATGTCGGCCTTGATAACTTTTTTTTTTAAACGTACATTTGTAATCTGAGTAGGCGCTTGATACATGCGACTAAATGGCACGTGCGTTGCGCCGAAGTCGGCGATCCGTTTTGACGGCCACGTTTGCAGCACCGTGCTTACCTAGCGTTGGGTCATATTCCCCGATAAAGCGCCTGGTTATGAAGCGGACCGTCATCGCTGCAAGACACAATTACCAGCGAGACAGTTCAAAAGCCATTCGCATACACAGGGTGATCCATTTATAAATACCCGACGAAATTATAATAACCCACTTCTCAACGGACGACGGGATATTCTGAAAGCGGTGGTTCCACGTCTTACAGAGGCACAGAGAGAGGATTGCAGCATGGATGGAGATTCACAGATCTGTGGCATCACACACACACACAATGTCTGTTCCAGGACCTATATGGGCCCCACCGCAAGTAAGATTATTTACTAATTGTATCGCAAATTCTGTGACGCAGCTTTCGTAGAAATGTTAAACAGAGCAACAACTGCAAGATCTGAGAACGTTGCGGGTACCGGATGTCGCGCTTAAGATTCGTCGATCACAATCTGTAATTGAATTCTTTTTCTCCGTTATATAAGTGAGGTATCTATAAAAGGATCGCCTTGTGTATGTATAGCTGACTGCAAACACAGACGTAATTATGGCCTTTATTTAGCTAGAAAAGCCACACTGTGGCTCAAGACACTTCTTTTTATTATGGCCCTGCATTGGTGTGTTTATTTACGAGTGTTTGGCTCGTGTGTGAGGACAACCCACGCACACGAGGGGGTAAAATACAAAGCTCGGCACAGACAGATTCAAAAACCCACTCTCATTCCTGGTAAACATATCCTAGCACTACAATCACTCACGATCACTCAATGTGTTATATGAAATACAATACATTATTAAAAACGTACACATTTTTTTGGTTTTGCCGAGACAGATTGTGAGAATAGGTTTTCCCCTTTTTTCTGGCAACAAAACAGGTGTTGAGATGTTAAAACACCAAACTGAAACCTTTTACAAGGAATCATGTCTGCATTAACCACAATACTTGTGGTCAGAATGCAAACAAAAAAACATACTCTAATACATTGCCATTGTCTTTGAAACTGATTGGTCCACACCAGAGACAGCTTTCTTTTGAGCCTCGTCTCAAAACGGTGTTAGACCAGACGACGCCAAAAAGGGGAAACTGTATTCTCAGATTTTGGTGCTGGCAAAGGAGGTCCCATGATGAGATTGTTTTTTTGCTCTTTTGATGAAGTTCGACATTTCCAAATTTTATATTACGCAAATACATGTGATGAATAACACTTGTTATTTTCAAAGACGATAATGATATAAAGTAACGACAACGGCTGTGCCTGCTTTACAATGATTGTGCGGTGTCAACACACGTTGCCACTGTCTGATAAATAACACACGCGGCTACATCGGCAGTTCTTTGCATCAACACATTTTTTGTTCTTCTTGTCAACTTGTTTTTAGCGATGGCGCACACGAGCACAATCAACTAAAACAACAACAACGCATTCTTCAATAGCACTGCGCCACACGGAAGAAGAGACGTGGGTGGCGACGTTTCGGGAAAGGACCCATCTTCATCGCAGAGAGATATGCAGAAGAGACATGTGGCCCAAACTTCGACCAGGGATGCATGTGTATTGTTGTTGTTGTTTTGTCACACGGAACAACAACTCCACACATCTGTCATTCACTATGAGATCTCTTTTACCAGTGGCAAAATATAATAGTAGGTTTTTACCCTTTTAACTGGTACAAAACTGACACCTTTATTCAAGGCATCATGTTTGCAATGACCACAACACAAGTAGTCAAAAAAGCAAACAAAAAGAAGCAACTCTGATAAGGATGATAATATGCACTGTCCTTGAAGTTGATTGGCCCACACCCGAGACGGCTTTCTTTAGAGCCTAGTCCCCATTGGTGTAGGGCCAGATGACACCAGAAGGCGTACAACTCAAACACAGTGCAACATCAGAGTATTGAGAGCTCGGGGTAAGCATTTACACTATGAGATCTCTTTTACCAGTGGCAAAATATAATAGTAGGTTTTTACCCTTTTAACTGGTACAAAACTGACACCTTTATTCAAGGCATCATCATTCATCGCTGATTCATAACAGAACAACATGCAGTCGGCTATTTGTGTTACAGCCATTGCCACTGCCTCAGCGGGAGATTGACTTTCTAGCCGGAGATCGAACACCAGCGCTGGGGGGTTCTGACAAGTGGAGAAATATTAACAGAGTTGACAACTTAAACGGCTTTTTTTGCATTGACGTGTGAACAGTTTTCTATTCGTAGACAATAAGTATCGAACACGCGACTTGAAGCGTAGCGGGAAGTGCGATGTCCAATCTCTTAATTGTCTTCTTGGTTCTTTCGGTAAAGTCACGTTGAAGGGAAATAATAAAATAATAAAAATAAAACAATAAAATAATTCTCACGACGTTTCGGCCACAACGCAAGCAGCCGTCCTCAGGTGAAGACTAGGTCTGTCGGGGAGACAGCGTCTTCATTCAGACGTCTTCATTCAGATGCTGTCTCCCCGACAGACCTGGTCTTCACCTGAGGACGGCTGCTTGCGTTGTGGCCGAGACGTCGTGAGAATTATTTTATTATATTTTATTTTTTCCCTTCTACGTGACTTTACCGAAAAAACCAAGAAGATTAATCCCTGCAGTCACGAAAGCTTTAAATCGAAACTCTTAATTGTCATCACGAATTATGAATCCAGTCAATCTCTGTTCTGAAGACAGCGCCGTTGCCTGCAATGTCAGCTTGCTACTGACTGTCTTAAATCAGTGGTAGTGATGAATGTGGCGAGTCTCTTTCTATGTTATGTATGTTGAACTTCTTTTGCACCGTACGTAGCCACCCATGATCATCCGAGGTGTGGGAGGAGGACAAAAAACTGAACACACAAGTCAGTTATAAAGAAATTAGTTTTCAATGTGGATTATTTAAAAGTGCTAAGCTCCAGTCGGCTTCCTATTATCAGAAGGAAGAGCGTTCCAGACGGCCGCAGAAGCGCATCTGAAAGCGCGCGATGCGGTGACCGTCTTTGTCCGATGGCTCAGCCAACATCCGCTGCGAGGATGACCGGAGTTTGTGTGATGGTTTATGCTCCTTGGCGAGATCAGCAAAGTATTGTGGTTCATTTATGGCGAGCATAGCATGCGGAATGAGTGTTAGTGACAAAAGTCCAAAGTCCTGTATTAATGGCCTGCATTTTATGGCACCGTTTGGCACTCAATTACCACATTTTATGACCTGGGTTGGTAACAAAATTTTGTAATAGGAACAAAAAAACCGTGACATTGTTACGACGCCATTTGTGTTTCAAAGTAAAAGCCACAATGAGATTTTGTGTATGTGCATGAAACATTAATTCGCACACCTCTGCACGGAGCCATATGTCTACACGCGACTGCGATCGGGCAATATGTGTTATTTTATCTTGACACAAACCCACAGAGATTGATTTTATCACTCGTCGATATGAACTGTGTAGCACGGTCTGAAGGTCTCGAGTCAAATTAGATAACACCAGCATTGCAGACGACGGTTATCCACTTATTCAGAACCATTCAAGTATACTGCACCTGTGCTGTTGTTTACTTAAACTCAGGATCGAGTTTAATTGCTGTAATACAAACGTCGCACCGGGAGAAAACCCGTGCGTACAGCGACATGTGAGTGACATTCCAGTAGGCTGGAGGCATAATGCAACATTATTAAATCCTTTATATTAAGTTCGTTTGCTTGCTTGCGCGCATACGACCGTGCAAATCTTTCGGTCGTTTTTTAACCCACTTCCCGTGATCCAATCGAGCTGACATTTTCCACACAGACTCGTTGTGCGTGACAATTAATTTTCGTGAAAAAAATTGTGCAAAATTTTACACTTTTTAGGATTTTTTTTTTATATTTAATTACCAATTGCTTAATCCTGCCAGGCAATCATCTGACCCATAGGTGGCAGCCATCCCAAGCCAGAGGACGAGAGGACTCTAGCCGCCACGCATATAAAGGATTTATATGGGTTAATTTTTTTCCCTTTGCATGTCCCCCCAGTGAAGTCTGTGTATCGTTTTTACGTTGAGACATGGCTCGTTTCGAGATGCAGTGGAATTTGTGCCGTATACATGCACATCCCGATCACGTCTGCGACATGAGTGCTGCAAACGGAGCATTTCAACATAAGGTATCGTATGCAACTGTGCGCTGATTATTAAACAAAATTTAATTTAAGAAAAAATGTTAACACAATTGCCTTTGTCAAAGATAATGATTCTATGTGTGTACCAAACAGGCGTTTCTTTACCACAACACATTTGTTGTGTTTTCCAAACGTCTTTGCTGCCATAAACAGGCACGGATATTGCTCATGTAGAGGTACGCTCTTAATAGGATGTAGTTGAAATACAAAAGACATAAATGTTGTATTGTTGGTTGACACATCTTCGACTCCACCGTGAATGAACATATACCACATGTCAGACAGACAGGAAGGCAGGCAGATGAACAGCTGCAGGGACAGACGCGTGAATGGGCAGGTGTGAGACAATTGTAATACAGACAGAAAGACGATGGCTAGAAGCTGTACCGGTGTGAAGGTAGAGAAAGACAGACTGACAAAAGGATGGACACACATCGCAGTGTTTTAGACAAACTCATGGGTGTATGGACATACATGCTCGTCCCAAGATAGACAGACAGGGAGATATATACACCGATTTGAACAGTTTTAAGTCTAGATTTTAAGCTTTCATGACTGCAAGGATTCATACTTTACCGAAAAAACCTAAGAGTATAGTTTTAAGTCTCACGGACGAAAGCATATAGCAGTTGAAGTTTCAAGACAAAATAATTGTTGGAAAGACGGATATACCAGTTTTAAGACGAGACAGACGGACAGATATAACAGCTTGAGACACAGATGGACAGACAGATAGATCTACATGTACACATTCTCATACAAACGGATGGAGAGGCGTAACAGCTCTAAAAGCAAGCAAGACTGACGGGCGTGCAGATGTCGAGCGCTGGAGCACGTGGCACCACGAACGACCTTCACCCACCTGTCTTGCCCACTCCGCTCTGCCCCAGCACCACGAGACGAGCTGCCCTCCCAGCTGCCCCCCCAGAGCCTCGCTTGAGCGGCTTGGGCAGCGGGAATGGAGAGTTCATGGTGCCGGTGCTGCCTTTCCCCCGAGGTTGTGTTTGCGAGCTGAGATTGCTGCTGCTGCTTCTCCTGCCGGGGTTTATTTTCTCTTCTCCAGCACCACCACCAGCACCCCGGTGTGTAAAGTCCACCCAGTAGGCGCGGAGACTTCACTCCTCCGAGTGAGTGGGAGGTTGGTGGTTTTATGGCTGAGCAGTGAATCGTGAATGAAAAAACGGCACTCGGAGAAGGAGCGAAACGAATTCACGATCTTCTGTCTATTCTGCTTTGACACCTGCAGAGGGTGTCCAAAGGAACGTCCCGTGGTAGTGGAGCCGGTTTCTTCTGCAACGTTCCGACTGCTACTCTGTTGTTGTTGTTGTTGTTGTTATGATGATGATGATACCACAGGTGCAGAGAAGTCGAAGATCCGTAGTCGCATGCCGACTTCGCCAGCTCGGCTCAGAACATTTGTGGCCGTCGCAGCAGCGACGAAGACGATGTACCCGCTCTGCTCAAGAGTCATCCTCGTTTGACGGGAGAGCCTCCCTGAGAGAGAGAGAGATTCGCATGAAAACCCGAGGCACTCCACCCCCCACCCCCATTCTACAAAGGCGAGGATCCAATGCCACACCTGTTGAACGGGGAGGTTCAGAGGTGAAAAAGGACTCGTTGTTTTCCCGGGGGGTGAGGGAGGGGGAGGGGGGGCCTCGGTGCAGGTCACGGTGACGAGGAGTTGCTCTTCTCTCTGCGGGACAGCCGAGGACGAGCTGCGCCACTTAAAATCCCGCTGGAATCGGGTGAATGGGAGCACGGCGGAGGAGTGTGGGTTTGTGTGTGTGGTCTGTCTGTGTGTGTGTGCTGACGGGAAGCGGAGAGCGCCTGGGAGGGCGAGAAGCCAAGGTGGGGGGGGGGGGATGGGGAGGCACCACCGCCACCTCTGGACTCTCTGCCGACACGGGCGAGAAGGCACCAAGTGACAGAGCCCTCTGGTGGCAGCTGGTCGCCTTTTTAGGGCCACGGAAGATTTTAAAAAAAATATGCCGTCAGCTCTCGTCCTCTGCCCAATTAGTCCCGGCCGACAGGATTGGTGGGTACAACGTTTGCAGAGAGAGAGAGACGCACGTATTTTCATATTCCGCAGATGTTTCATATCACGTTCCTTAATTGCTGAAAAGGTATTGTCAATTATTCTACGGTTACCATTCAATGACATTTTGTCATAAAAAACTACCTCGGTGTGCCTTGCTATCATAAATATACGTTATATCGAGATAACTTGCCGTAAAAAAAATGATGCGAGCATTTGGTATCCTGGGTGATACCAATAATCATATTGGGCCAATAGCCCCAAGGCGAAACGGCAAATCTTTGGCTCAAACTGCCTCCATCCTGTCCAATCTTCATCTTTCTCAATTTCACTGTCCAGGGTAGTCCAGATGTCTTGTGACCACCATTTAATTCTTTTAAACTTTTTTTTTTTATATTTTCAAGTAGTGTTTATTTATAATATAAATGAATATGCAAAGGGGAAACAATGTTAGGGTTTAATTAATTTGGGGGGGGGGGGGGGGGGTTGGTCACAAGACATCTGGGCCAAGCTGTACTGTCCTCACTTTTTTTACGAATTCGGTAAACACAAAAAACCCCTCTCAATATTTCAAGAGGCGCGATGCACTGCGCTGAATACGAGACGGTGGTGGTCCTTCACAAAAACATCACGAAGCAGTCCTGAACGAGCCGCACGCGACTCTGGGGCTGCAGTTCGACAACCCCTGGTCCTCGTCGTTTTGCAGCGTCTTCTCTTTTTTTTCGATTTAGGACTGAACATTACGTGACGGACCCACAATGTGACGCTGCGCCGTCCGCCCACTTGGCTGGGTCAGTGGCAGTGAATTCTTCACAGGCGATGCGTGACGCTGTCTGGTGGAGATCTGCACTGCACTTGGCCGCACTGATGGGGTCATTTCCGTCAGCGCTCCTATCATCACCATCGTCATCCCTGATCAATCCACTGCTGGATGAAGGCCTACCCCTACTGTCCCCATCCCTCACGACCCTGCAATGTAACAGTCCACGTAGCACCAGCACACGAACCAATTTCATCGCTTCATCTCCTCTCGACTTGGATGTCCTCTCGAACGCTTTACATAAGCACCACGATGTCACAGCGTTATTATAAGAACCGTGATTGAAAGTTCCTTGAATTTTCCCTCTTTTCTGAATTACAAAGTGTCAACCTCCACAAAACAATCCTTCGATTAAATGTGTTGTGTATCCATTGAACAAGGTCAAACAAAATTCTGCTGGTGAGGCTCCCTATCAGATTCATGATTATTGTACATTCTATGTTGTGTTCCAGCACATTGCTTGGCAAGTGCCATGTCGATCATATTCTGGCGTCTGACATTGTCTTGGGGTTGCATTCAGAGAATGTGTCTAATTGCTACTGGAAATGTTTTCCGAAACAGTAGACATGGGTTGCTAGTTTTGCTTCTTGTGTAAACTGATTTACAAACAGCAGCTGGTGTACGATGTGTGCAACATTATAGCAATTTACAGCGTTCAAATTGCAGGCAATTCTCGAGATCTGCTCAGGACACCAGCACACAATGGCTTTTACTCTTTTCATTAATGCCATGGGGACCATTTACAGCGACGCACTTTGGAGACAGAGTGCACTTATTCAGTAATAATGACCGTGCCACATTTGTCGGCAAATTGACGATAAACGCCCCACTCATTTCACAGCAAATAGCAGGTTATTTTAAATTGATGCTGCTCAGCAACTGATAATTATCAATCTAATTTTATTCATTGCTGGCCAGCAAGCTCACATTTATTTCTAAAGCTTGGCATGCAATGTTATTTGTCTGCGGTCTTGCCTGTGGAATTTTTTTTATGCAGGCTTGTGTTTTAATAAAAAAAAATTCGATGGGCTTTATGTCATAGTTTATTAGCACTGTTAGATCAATTCTGCTGTTGGAGATGTTAACAGCTACTTAGCTGCGGTTGAAAAATGCACCGATTTGTCCATCAATATCAGTTATTGAGCCTGAAATACATGCATTGAATCGCGCATACTTATTTTATTATATTTGCAAGTTATACTCGTAACCGCCAGCTGGCTTTGCCCAATTTCGCTCGGCTTTAAAACGTTGGTATGATGATGGACACGAAAAATATCAGCTTTAATCTTTCACTTCCAACAAGTACTGACAAAAAAAACTTAACGCGGTGAGACTATTTTTTTCCAACTAATTAATGTTATCTGATTCGTCGAGTAATCAAACTGATAAACGCTTGTCATTGATTACTCAAATAACCAGCCCAGCTCTATAATCAATCTCCACTCTGGCTTTCAACTTAAACCACTGCTGCATTGCATTCGCGGGGATTTGTGTAATTGCGATGGCTCATTATACTCTTCGAGCCGTGCCATTTTCACCGCACCTTGAATGTTGCAATTTGTGTGCAAGGCATGTTCAAAACAGGGTACTAACACGGCACAGTATGTTTATCACTGGTGGGATTCCACATGCGCAAACCAATATGCACAATTGATGATAAAAGGCAGCGAGACCGCATGCCTATACTTGATAATGTAATCACGCAGTCCAAATATGCACAAACTCGCTCGTATACACACACACACTAACGTCCTTTCGGGCTGACTTGAATCCATATTGGCTGGGGGAAAAAAAGCAATCTCAGTAAAAAAAAAACCCAGCTGCACTCTTCGCTTAAGTTGCCAAATTCTTATCGGACTGATTTGCCTCGGGGGTGGGGGGGGGGGCGACGACACTGCATATACATTGGAATTTAGTCCTTTATCAACGCACTGGTGGATGAAAGCCTCCCAGTACGTTAATCGTGGGTGTTGTTTGACCATACTTCACCACGCAGGTTAATGCGGGATGGTAAACAGGGGGGGAGGGGGAGCAGGAACTATTCAGCTATCACTCTCAACTGTTCGCCATGGCTCGGAATGAAACTCAGACCACCAAATTCATAGCACAGTGCGCTTATCGGTGCCACTGATCCACAATGTTAAGTCATAATACAATACTGTACTAGGTAAATGTGAGCCCGTTAGACTGGAATGGATGCATTGTGTGTGGCTTGGGAGAACTAATGTTAACGAGGGCAAATATGATTTGAAATCACTGAAGCAGCATTTTGGAGTAATGATTGTGTAAAGACGACTTCGACACACTTGTCTTGAGATGGTTTCTGTATTTAAGAAGTCACGTGATCACACTTGGAACAGGCGGAGACCCCCACTACAACAGCCCCGAGTCTACGACGCATCTCCTTTATATACGGTCCGAGGCCACGCCCCCATTCCCGAACCTTCTCGCTGGTTCTCGACCACTCGCTCTAGCAGCAGACTCGACTGTCCTCTTCCGTCACCTGCCTACGCTATTCTCATTCCCGTAGCCACCAGTCCATTCGTACTGCAGGCTGACTCCCCTGTCATTACCTCCCGTGGCCACTAGTCCATTCGCACTGCAGGCTGACTCCCCTGTCATTACCTCCCGTGGCCACTAGTCCATTCGCACTGCAGGCTGACTCCCCTGTCATTACCTCCCGTGGCCACTAGTCCATTCACACTGCAGGCTGACTCCCCTGTCATTACCTCCCATGGCCACTAGTCCACTCACACCGGAGGTTGCCTCTGTCATTATTACAATGTTGGCTGAAACAAGCTAACTCTATTGATCCAGAACAGCTTCAGTGAATCCCAAAACCATTTTAGGTCCTGCTTGAGATGATTTTGTGCCAATTCCTTATTGGCTACATGTGTGGGAGAAAACTGCAATTCCTGGAGAAAAACAAACATACGAGCATCTCACATCAAACATACGAGCATCTGCAGGTGTTGTGCACACGATCTCGGTGCAATTTCACCATTAGCCATGGTGAATGCACGCCCGGATTAAGACCTCCCCAATCCTCCACCATCTCTCACAATCCAAAAACTAAAGCTGTGTGCCACCACCACACGGCAAACTTTAGTCGCATTACGTAACATGGTCATGGGCGGCATTCACCGAACATACCTCAACAGGCGAAGCATTGAAAATCATCTTTTATTAAACAGCGGGAGTTACGAGACAACATTATACGATACAGTTACCATAATGTCAATGGCCACAAAGTGGCCTGGCCGTAATGAGACAGTCAGTCCTATGTTGCCACTGACACAGAGAACACACAAGTCTCTTTATGAGGCACCTTCAAGATACAAATGTCCTAGCGAACGCGATGTGGAGAATGGAAACTGCCGGGCGTGCCAGCGCGTGCGTGCGTGCGTGGGAGGTCCCTGTTGGTCAGTTGCAGCGGGGGACGAACAGAGAGAGCGAGCCAGGCTTTGTCACGATGCATGTGCTGCTGGAGGTTCAAGCGAGTGTGGGAGTGATGTCGATGGAGTTAATCCGTAGCACGGTCTGCGGCGTGGTCCTCACTGTCACCGAGACAAAACAGAGCCACATTCGCAGTGAAAGCAGCGGTCCAGCACCACTGCTGGAATCTTGTACAGTCGGGCAAATGTGTTTAAAATGCTAGAAGTGGATACAGCACTCGTGTTGATACACAGGTGTTTTCCTACTTAATGCAACTGTTACCCACTGTTTTGGCCAGTGCCCAATACATTATCAGGCTTTTTTTCTGTTTTAAGGTAGAGTTAATCATACAAGTTAAGTATTTCCCCCCCTTCCATAACAACACAAGAGATGAACTCTGAATGAGTTCTCCAATTTAGGTGCCACACGGTCGCAAGACGTTAACTACCTCGCCTGGTATACAAATCACGGGTTCAATTCCGACCCTGACACCTGTATATTTGGAGTTTCCA